TTGGTTACTGAATAATCAATCATTGAATAATGCAATCATCGCAATTGTTTTCGAATAAACTGAAGAAAATCAGTTGCGGACCTACGGCATCAAGGTGTACCCGAGGACCTCAGTGATATGAGATCGACGCTCTACTAATGCATTGGTGCATTATTTTCCCACGCTTTTTTTTTTTAGATCTTCTGCAGGTGCCCATTTCATTTCTCAATTTCCAACTTTCTTCATATTTGCTAGTAGAGTTGTTTATTTTTAAAACATGTAAATCCGATATTATCACCATCACGTTTTATCTATCAATATATGTTAATTGTGTTTAAAATGTAAATGTCAAATCTACATGTTACGAGAAAAGGAAATGAAATGCTTTGTCCATTTTCTCTTTTTTATCTTCCTTTTTCCTCTCTCGTCCATGTATGTAAATTCGATTTATTTTAATGTATGATGTGCAATATATTGAAGTTTTCATTATTGTTATTGTTAATTTATTCCTTGAACTAATTTGTGATCGTTTCCATATTGATGTACATGTATTTTTAATTTCTCTTTATTTCTTTGAACTTTGTAATCTTTTTTTGTATCAGTCTCCCGACTGTTATAACATGGAATTTTTGACACAATAAACCGAAATGAATGAATGAATGAATGAATGAATGAATATTGCCATGCTGACTAGTAGATGTTTCCTTCTCTTATCTGTATCTGTCATCCTGTCTTTCACTTTGATCTCTAGTCGGCTACCTTCACTCTTCCTATCTCTCGCTGTCTGCAGTTCCTCTCAATATATCCGAATATTAATTACTATTAATCTATCTGTAACACAATGGCCAATACTTTCAAGAAATCAACTTAGGTATTAATTCAATACCCTGTTGTATTAAACGCCTATATTTTGTTTAAAGTATGTAAATAGGTGGCACACAAGGCTTTTAAAATGGCATTATGTTGACCTTTTTGTTTAAAGTCTGTGGCCTGTATTCTGAACTCTGGTCTAACTTAAACTCCTGTCCAAGTGAAACTAAAGATTCTTAGACTGGAGTTTAAGATAAACCCGACTTCAGAAATATCTGAAGCTGCGGTTTAAATGGCTGATTTAAACTGGAGTTAGACCATAGTTAAACCGGAGTTCATAATGCAGGCCTGTGAGATGTGAACGAATCATAATTATGATGATATTATATTTTACTGCTTTACTCCTTGTTTCCAATGCAGGACTACATCACAGTGTTTCACCGACACGCATGCGTTCTCCGAGCATTCGACTATCTCTTGGATACGATATTAGAGGACGAGCGCATAAGTTCCTGGACCCGTAGTTTCGAATCACAGGTCCGAGCCTTGCAAAATAAATTGCTCACCGCCAGAGGACTTCTCAATGACTGGGTGAGTAGTGTATTGTATATATAACCGCTTTGATTCTGCTGTCTGTGTTGTTGTCGTTCATTTATAAAACTTAAATAAATAACCGTCTAGCATAGCCTAAAGGGGCTTTCACACCGGGTCTTGCGGAGAGTTGCGTAGAGTTGCGTACCGACTACGCCGATTGTACGCAACCCTACGCCGGCCTACGCAACTGTACGCGGAGGGACGCAAGTGGGTACGCGAGATGAACGCAAAAAATTAAAATGTTTAATTTTTTTCGCGTACCTTCGGCGTAGACTTTTTACGCAGAAAGTACGCAATTTGTACGCAAGTCTACGCAGATCCGGTGTGAAAGGGGCTTAAGCCTATTGAATAAAACTGAAATTTGTCAAGAGGCAGTGAGTGGCGCAAGACGTAGGGCGCTGAAGCTTTCGGTTTAATTACATGTCATTAGTGCTCCAGTGGCGCCCGGATCTATAATGGTCAGGCTCCAGTACCCGCGGACGACAGTTCCCGTCAAAATGTCACGTTTGTGTCACATATTACTCTACTCTCCAGGTCGACATCTTACAGCCGTCATCGCCGTCTGCGACCTCCGCCCCGTCACCCGTCATGACCCGTCCGCCTTACATCCCCCGTCTGGACAGAGCCACCTTGGTCCTCCGTGACTATGTGATCCTAGACAGCTTAAAGATTGCCGTCAATACGTTGCTCAGGGATGTTGAAGCAATAAGCGGAATTACAGCCAAGTAAAACATCGTAACAGCAATGACCCAATCAAATGCCTTGACAACGGATATGGACGCTAGTGAATTTTCGCACTGGGCACCTAAAATGTGATCCCGTTGGTTCCAAAGAATGCAAAGGAAAGACCTATTTAAATTCTCTCTGCTACTCTTGATAAATATTTATTTAAAAAAATGTGATTTCCGTATTATAATTATGAGTCTTTCCTTTGAACTTATTGAAGGGAATCAACGTACGGAATCACATTTTTAGGCGCCTGGTGCGAAAGTGCATCAACGCCCGAATAATGTACAAATCAGACGAATATTGAGTCTCTGTTTATTTATAAGTCCATAGAAGATAAAATATAAACTGTTAATATATTTGTAGTAACAACTAGTACATTTTCATAAAATTGTATTTTTACTGTCAAAATAAGATAGTATCAGTCGATTACTTTATATGAAATATATTCTTGATACTGGGATGTACATGTAAGATGTTTGCCTTTGATATTTAGTATTGTCAGTATTCACATACACGTGCAATGTATGTAAAGCCTATTATTTATATTTTGCTTATATTATTGAGATGAATATGCATATTTACCTTGTTGGTCCGATAAATTTATAATGTCATTGATTATTCATCTTGAGAAATTAATCTGCCATGTAGTAGTAGACCTGTCAGTCTTAATCTTAAAGCCACACTGTCCTACTTGTAGCTACTTGCTACCTCTATATAGAAAACAATGCCTAATCGATGACCATTGGTCCCCCATGATCCTCTTTTTCTTACGTTAACTGAGAGCTGAGTTGATGAGATAACCACCCGTTCAGTAACCTTGCAGGGCGGTCTAATCCCTCATATAAACCAGTACAGATAAGCTTTAAGATATGAGACATTCCTAAGGCCACGAGTGGAAAGAGCGAGTGGCGTCATAAAGCAGACTCCTCGGCTGCAGCCGTCACATGGTAATGATGGTCCCGACCTAGCACCGATTAGTTAATATCTTCTATTAATCAGAAAGTATTATTTATCAAATCAGCCTATCAGTACTATACAAGGTTTAAGCAAATATTTTAGTCTCCGTAAACTTTATTATATAAGCATTTTTCTTTTCTACTTATTCTCTGTATACATCTTGCAAATTTCTACTTGTGTCAAGTATGACGTATTTGCAGTAAAAATTTTAAAATATAAATTATAATTATTCCGTATGGTAACTATTCCTCTTCGGGAAACGAGAGAACAATGAGGGGTAGTGTGTGAGTGTCCCAAATACATTCTGTAGAACAATAGGTAGACATTTGTTGAACATGAACTTTACAACAACAACAAAAAAAATTGATTTTATTATCAATCTACCTCAATCTTACCTATACTTAGTATCCCAGATCCTCATTGACTACCTCTATGTCTGTCTGTCTCTCACTCGTTATATATCCCACTCAAACTGATACTTATTTACTTCTCTCCTTCATCTTTATATGCTCTTTACATGTATCAAATCTCTCCCTTTCTCTCTTTCTCCCCTCTATCCTTGTCTCCTTCTCCCCTTCTTTCTCCCACATGACTCTCTTTCACTCCTATGATCTATACACTTTAGTTTACAATGTAACGTGTATCACGCAAACACTATGTAAACTAGTTTATTAGTATAGCCTCGATAAATCATATTCCTCACAAATATTTTCTTATCAATTCACATGGACATGTATACATATGTTAATTTTACCGTGAGGGTAGATATTTTACGAAAGATATTGTTATTCATTGTGTTAAAAAAAAAAACTAAAAACGTGTATCACGTCATAAGTATCTGACAATTTTGTGTCACCATAGCCGTTCTGCAATGTACTAATTTAATAAGCAAGTTATAATATGTGTATGTTCACTTTGTTTAAAAAAAAGGGGAATCCGTCACCCTCCCCTTCCCTGCGTGTATCATTTCACAAATATGAATGTTCAAATTTGATTATATAAAACCATAACATGATGACTAGTCTGATTAATAACGGAAGTAATTAATCTAAGGTGGTGATCAATTTACGTGGATATGAATGAATATATTTATTATAATTTTATGGTAGACGTACATGTATATTTTGTGAAAGTTATTGTTATTCATTGAGTAAAAAAAACTATTAAAAACGTGTATCACGTCATAGGTATCTGACAATTTTGTGTCACCATCGCCGTTCTGCAATAAACTAATTTGATAAGCAAATTATAATACGTGTCTGTTCAATTTGTTTTAAAAAAAAAGGAAATCCACCACCCTCCTCTTCCGCTGTGTGTATCATATCACAAAAAAAGAAGAATATTCCAGTTTGATTATATAAAACCATAATATAGTGACTAGTCTGATTAATAACGAAAGTAATTAATCTAAGAAGGAAAGATATATACCGCGCGAGGCGTTTGCTGAAGAGTTATCATAGCCTTATTAAAACAGGTTATTAACAGCATTGCTAAATTCGTTACTGCGGCTAAAGTTCTTTATACCCTACCAAGCATATGCCTGTAAGTTAGAATGCAGCCTTTAAAGCCCCAATGTCCTACTTGTAGCTACTTGCTCCCTCTATATAGAAAACTTCCCCAATCGGTGCCTGTTGGTCCCCCATGATTCTCTATTTCTTATGTTATTTGGGGACCTGTCAGTGATCTCGCTGTGTGGTATAATCCCTTCTAGCCACACTAGTGTTGATAAGCTTTAATACATAATTAATGTTTGTTGATCAGTATGATTGCGCAACCATTTAAAATGAGCTTTATTTACAAAAAATATTTAATTCCAATATTCATGAACGTTATTTCATTTACAAACTTGATTATTAATTCTCAAATTGTATAAAACTAGAAATATAGTCACCATTCAAAGTAATTGATTGAGTCATTTAGGACACCTTTTATAATATTTTGGTGAAAGCAAGCTTTATTGTAATAAATGAATGGATGGGTGAGTGAGAGAACGAGAAAGTATCAGTAGATGCTGATTTAGGTGTGAGTGAGTGAGTGAGTGGGTAAGACTGAGGGGGTGCGTGAATGAGTGATCGGGTGAGTACTTAATGGTTGAAGACGTGAGTGAGAAAGTGTGGATGAGTGGGGAAGTGTGGGTGATTGAATAGTGAATGAGTGAAGATGTAAGTGGGAAAGTATGGGTGGGTGAATTATTGAAGAAATCAGTAAGTGTGAGTGAATGAATGAGTTTGTATTAAGTAAAGAGTAAGGAAATGAGTGAGTGCGTGCATGGGTGAGTGGGAAGGTGGGCGAGTGAGCTAGTGAGTGATCGGGTGATCGAGGAATAGTGACCGAGTGAACTCGTTAGTGAGTGGGCCAGTGAGAACATGAGTGAATGAAGAAGTAGTATTATACAAATAATCGAAATATTAGAAGGATATCGGGGAAGAGGAGAGAGAGGGGGAAGGATAAAAAGAGAAAAAATTGAAGAAAAAGGAGAGAAAGGACAGAATTTCACAGAAACGGGAAAATTATGGAAACTTTAAGGGCACTTCGGTACTGACCTTTGGTTAAGAAAACTCTTTACACTTTTGTTCTCCTCCACCAGACTGTACGAAAGTCCTCTTAAAGATTAGTTCCGAAAATGCCCTTCATATAAAGCCACCAATATTCATGGCACTTGACGACATCATTCAAAGAAATTAATGCATGATTTTCCCTGCAACCTATCGACAATAAGCCGACGTAATGTGTAAACTAGCAATCTACTCAAATGTTTATGTACTTGTAGGAGAAAATGATTATTAAAATTCAGTATCTTCGACAGCAAGATTAATCACTGCTCCTCGATCGGTTGGTTGCTGTATTTCCTCATTCACATCATCTTTGAGGACAGTGGAATCGGAAGTGGATCGGTAAGTACCACTGTCGATGGCGATCTCCACTTTGTCCTCCACAGGTTCCTTGCCTTCTTTGAAAACGAACCGCTTGTGCAGGGTGTAGATACCGATAACTGCCATTCCAAGAAAGAACTGTAGCATGATGCTGATGAAGGGGACCCGCCCTGCAAGATCCGCCTCCGGCTTGGGGTAGGCGTTGATTAGGACGACGTAGGCTATTATTCCGTTCTGGACGCCAGTCTCAAAGGCAATTGTGGCTATCTGCTCTTTCTTTAAACGAGCCAACTTTGCCATGATGGCGCCTAAGGTGCCTCCGATTAAAGGTAACAGAAGAGAAGACACATAAATCTGCCAGGGGGCGTAGAATATGTAGAGCTGAAACGGTAACGATGAACCTATAACCAATATGAGGACTACTGCGATTACTGGCTTCATTATCTTCACAGCTTTCTTCTCATAGTGTGACCATCTTAACCGTGCCAGGACGCCCGCTGCGAGAGGGATGAGCATGCCGACCAGCTGGATAGCAACTTGATCGTAGGGTGTCTCGATTGTGGAGTCAGTGATGAGAGGCGTGTAGATGAATATGTTCAGTGGCATAGTCCCGAGGGCCAGGAGAGTTGAGCAAGTTGTCATGGTGACACTCAACACGAAATCTGCATCTACAAGGATGCTCAGATCATTGCTAAGTTTTCCACCAGGAGAGCACCCAACCAGTAGCAAACCAATAGCTGCTGTTGGCTCCAATTGCAGCATCTTACCGATGCCAAACGCTAATGCCGGCATGAGCACAAACTGACAGGTGAAACCGATGAAAACAGCAAATGGACGCTTTAAGTTCTTCAAAACTAGTTTTATATCCAGCGTGAATCCCATCAAAAAATACGTAATAGATAATGGAATGAAAAATAGATAATTCAAAACGTTGTCATAAAAATAATTAGCCACAAGCAGAATCTTGACAGGTATCTCAGCAACGCGTGTCATTTCGTTTGATCCTACTCCTGACATCATTATAACAATACTCGATAATCCAAGATTATTTCCGCGTATTTTCACATGGTAAACTCTAGGTAAAACCATTCCGGCGGAAACACTGTACGTCGATGCGTTAATTATTTCAAATTCATTTTCATTGAGACTTTGAAAGATAATCGTACTCTCCGAACCATTGTAGACTAATATGGTCACGTTCATATCCAGTTCTTGTCCCTCCTCAACGTACACGTCTGTGTGGTTCTCAAAGACGATGTCAATACGTGCGATGCAAACATGAATTCCCAAAACCAATGTTAGCAAGGACCGAAAGACTTGTTGCTGATACATGTTGTGTGTCATCTGCAAGTCAATAAAACAGATTTATAAAAACATTTTACCATGTTGTTCAACATGCAGTTATTATTTTTTATTATTAAAAAATCACATTTTAATTCGACTTTTAATAATCTATTTATATGAAATAAAAAAGTTCGTTGTCATAAAAGAACTCGTCGGGAACGCCAAAGGCCCTATCCCATTGAGCGGCGAATGCTTGCGAACGTTGCGAATCAGCGACTTTTAGTGACGTTTAGCGACAATTAGCAACATTTGAGCGAATATCTCCGAAAGTGTTTGGGAAAGGCAGTTGGCGACTATTAGCGACTGCAAGCAAATGTTAGCGACAGTTTTTGCGAAGATTAGCAACTATTTGCCAATCCTTTGCCACTATTTGTGAACGTATGAGACCTTTTGCTAACTAGTGGTACTCAATGGGTCGGTGTTTATAAAGGAACCATATGGTAACGTGGTCGCTATAGCATTGGCGAAACAAAGAGAACTGACGAAAACAAAGAGCGACACCGTCTTACAACCGTTTGCAAAGGCTTACGACTGTTTTGCAAACGCCAGTAACTGTTTTGCAAACGATCACAACTGTTTGCAAACGCTTGCTACTGTTTGCGGAAAAACGAAAAAAACTGTTTACGACAATGAAAACTGTTTACAAACTTTCTTGCCACCTTTTACAACCTTTTACGAACCCTGGCGAACCCCAAATTCGCTACGTTCGCGAGCATCGCCGCTCAGTGAGATAGGGCCTTAAAGAAACGCAGAACATCCGAACTGATACATGGTTACAGGGCCTATCTCACTGAGCAGCGAATGCTTGCGAACGTTGCGAATTTGGATTCGCCAACTTTTCTGACGAATGTTGGCGAAAATCAGCGACATTAAGTGACGTTTAGCGACAATTAGCAACATTTGAGCGAATATCTCCGAAAGTGTTTGCGAAAGGCAGTTGGCGACTATTAGCGACTGTAAACAAATGTTAGCGACAACTTTTGCGAAGATTAGCAACTATTTGCCAATCCCTTGCCACTATTTGTGAACGTTTGAGACCTTTTGCTAACTACTGGTACTCAATGGGTCGATTTTATAAAGGAACCATATGGTAACGTGGTCGCTAGCTTTGGCGAAACACAGAGAACTGACGAAAACAAAGAGCAAAACCGTTTAACAACCGTTTGCAAAGGCTTACGACTGTTTTGCAAACGCTAACGACTGTTTTGCAAACGCCTGCAACTGTTTGCGGAAAAATAAATTCGCAAAGAAATTTTGAACATGTTCAAAATTTCTTTGCGACAAGAAAAACTGTTTACAACAAAGAAAACTGTTTGCGATCTTTCTTGCAACCTTTTACAACATTTTACAAACTCTGGCGAAACCCCAAATTCGCTACGTTCGCAAGCATTCGCCGCTCAGTGAGATAGGCCCTAGGACCTATGTCCCTGAGCGGCGAATGTTTACAAACGTTGCGAATTTGGATTCGCCAAGTTTTCTGACGAATGTTGGCAAAAATCAGAGACTATTAGTGTTGCAAAAGGTTCGTAAAAGGTTGCAAGAAAGTTCGCAAACAGTTTCATTGTCGCAAACATTTTTCTTCTCGCAATGAGTGAATTCATTTTTCTGCAAACAATTGCAAGCGTTTGCAAAACAATCGTAAGCTCTTTGCAAACGGGTCCTATATAAAATCGACCCATTGAGTACCAGGAGTTTTCGCCAACATTCGTCAGAAAAGTTGGGGAATCCAAAATTAGTAACGTTCGTAAAGGGGTAATCTCACTGAGCGGCAAATGCTTAATTATGGTCACGTGGTCGCTAGCATTGGCGAATCAAAAAAGAACTTTAGTGACACCGTCTTACAATCGTTTGCAAAAGCTTACGACTGTTTTGCAAACGCTTGCAACTATTTGCGTAAAAATAAATTCGCAAAGAAAAACTGTTTGGGAGCTTTCTACGAACCTTTTACGAGCCCTGGCGAAGCCCCAAATTCGCTATGTTCGCAATCATTCGTCGCTCAGTGAGATACCACCTTAAACATTATTTCGTCGAGATTATGCCACTCTTCTTGAAAATGGGCCCTTACCGGTATTGAAATCAAATGTTTATATATTTCAACCTTTTCAAGTGGGCTTTCTTTGGGGGTCTGTTTTTCTTCCTCCTCCTTCTTTTCAGTCTCTTCTGCTTACATTTATTGTAATATTCAAAATACATTATAACTCTTAGATCTTTTGCAGTATAAAACATGCAGGCTCAGTTATTACATTTCTAAAGTTACAATGAATATATTAGCTTACCAATAGAAACATCAATTGTGAAGAAAAAACGAAAAGATGCCAAAGCGTCTCCTTCGACTGCAGCCGTCAGCAATTTTGCGAGCTCCTCCGAATCTGTAAGATTTATAATGTTTTCAGATTGTTTCGTTTCACCTATAGAAAAAAAAGGATGAAAATACAAAACAATGTATAAGAAAAATAAGATGACACAGCATGAAATGGCAATTTGATTTTCTTTATCAAACGTTTGACGATCAAATATTGGAATCTCATGCCGAGTAAATACGCGGATTAGACGAACCGTTTTGTGTCCGCGACTGTGATTGGCAGAGCTACAACAAAAAGAAGAAGGCTGCAGTATTTATATGCCAGCATGATTTCACAAGCAATGTTGACTAACAATACCTGGGAAAAGTGAGTAAACAAAAGAAAGATATATGAAGACATCTTGCAAGCCGTCAAGTAAACTGGGAGGAACAATGGTGCTTGGAGGTACCCCGCGGTGCGAAACACGACGGATATGTTCCTTCTCACGGTATCAAGGTCCGAGTTGCTTAACCTCTAAAGTGTTGGGTAAAAACTTAACCATTTTGGGTAAAATTAACAGAAAGGACAAGTGTGTTTGTTATATGTGAGATTTAGCCCGATATAGAATATTTTGTACCCAAACTTGGGTAAAAATTACCGAATGTTGATTAAAATTTTCCCCAACAAACATGCATGTTCTTTTCATGTTAAGATTTGGGGTACCTAGTTGTTGGTTTTATATGTTTGAGAGTGTATACAATAAGATGCATCTGCTGTGTTTGTTATTTCATTTTTGTTTTGTTTTGTTTTTAATGTCGTTTCTTTTTCAGAGGTTCATATTTCTGACGGTTCGTTATTCCAAAAGCTTACGATTCTGAAAATGGCATCGAACATATTTCAGAATTATAACCTACGGGTACGAATGTTCAGAACATCGAACCTTCAGATTTATAAAACAAATTATTTACCATACTTCATTTAGGCAATGATGAATGTCGTGATGTGGAAAGTTTGTTAATCTTTTGGGCGAAAAGATGCCCCTCCCTCCCAGGCACCTCACGTGAACTGTGCTATGTAAATGTGCTGAACGTGCTCGAACTTGTACTTTTTCGTAAATACATGTAGAGTGCATTCGAATGATCTTGAACCGGGACCCACGAAAGCCGGGCCCATGCTTGAACAGACCTATTTATTTTCTTAAAGACTCCATTTCTGAAGTCTTTTTATTCACAGAGTTTGTGCGTTTCTCTCTAAATTGTTCTCACTCAAAACCACTTTAAAAAAAAATTGTTATAGTTAATCAGGTGGCCTGTATAACGTACAGACCACCTTATAATTTCGTTAGAATTGCCTTAATTTATTTATTATTCTTTATTTTTTCTTATTTCTAACCACTTTTTTTGTGGACAAGATAACTTGAAAATGGCTGGATCAAATGCCTTAAAATTTGGCACACATATGTAAAGGCATATGTACAAAGCACAGACATTTTTTCAACCTTGACCTTGACTGATGACGTCATTTAGGCGCCTTTTTGTAAAATTTTACGAAATTCAACTCATGATCATATCTTCATAACCGAGAAGTATTACTCATTCAAATTTATCATGATCAAGGTCAATATCCGTCCGGTCAATTTCAGGTCAAATAAAATTTTAAAATGCTCAAAATCGTCTCAAAATCACTTTGTATACGTTTTAGGCTATTCTAAGCATTTTATAAAAAATCGCGCACACGCACAAGCGTGCGCGTTTTCGCGCGTAAAACTATTGCACAACATAGAATTGCCATTTTTTTCCTTTCATAATATTTCACATATATTTACAAACAAATTGATACCATGTTTGTCTCTTTATGACTATTAATAACGGAATGATCGACCGTTTAACAAGAATTTCCGTGCGTGCGAGCTCTTGTAATACATAGCACATAATTATGGGCAAAAACATGCCTATACAAAATCCATTGTAGCTCTTTAGGATGCAAGATGACCTCAATTTGTTTTCATATCTTGATAAAGTATGAGTCGGAGATATGATTTCATGTCTCATTTGACCCTCAATTAACTCATGACGTCATCATAATGGCCTCCGAACTCAAAATTTCAATTTGCATATTATGACGTCATCATATTTTTGGAAAATTGATTGTATCTCTGTAAATATCGGTCAATTTTCTTCCAAATTTTTAGCTGAGATAATTTTCTACAAATCCAATAGGTATTATTTTTTCATTTTGACAAAGGCATCATGGCGTATTTTTGCGATTAAAGGAGGCATGTCAATGTTGCACATTTTGCGTGTATTCTCTATGGGACATGATTTTTTCTCAAAAAATGGATTCTACATTCCCGTCTTTCGCGAGCAATATCTCTGTAGTTTTAACTTCCTTTACGCTGAACTTCGAGTATGTTGTAGCTGAGACAATGAGCTATCTCAAATGTGCCCTTCATTTTGTCTCAAATTTTAGTTCGACCAGCCCACCTATACTTGTTCCAAACAAGCATGGGTGTCGATACTTACGTAATACCTATTGTTCAGGGGGGGGGGGGGTGAATGAATAGATCATCCCCCCTGATGAATAGGTATCAGTGACAGATCGACACCCATGCAAACAAGTATTACAAATCTAGTTGTGTATTGTATTTTTGTTGGTTTTCATTCATTCTTTCTCTTTAACTCTTAACTATCTCAACCTTTCTTCATATTTACATTTTTACAAAAACACAACCAACAAGGATTGATTTTCAATAATATGAATATATAATATAGTTTTAACTTCCTTTACGCTGAACTTCGAGTATGTTGTAGCTGAGACAATGAGCTATCTCATATGTGCCCTTCATTTTGTCTCAAATTTTAGTTCGACCAGCCCACCTATACTTGTTCCAAACAACTTGTTTGAAACAAGTATTACAAATCTAGTTGTGTATTGTATTTTTGTTGGTTTTCATTCATTCTTTCTCTTTAACTCTTAACTATCTCAACCTTTCTTCATATTTACATTTTTTACAAAAACACAACCAACAAGGATTGATTTTCAATAATATGAATATATAATATAGCTGATTGCACATTGCATACGAACTTGCATCGTCGATCAAAAAAAATATATATTTTAAAAATAAATACACTACAATCAACAGAGTAAAATAACTGCATTAGGTTTAGAATATGTCCAATGGAAGAGCCTAATATTATCAAAAACAGCTGAACGATTTCTCGACAAGACCTTAAACTATACCTTACCTTAACCCAAACTTCAACCAAACCTAAAACCCTTTGCACCCTCAACCCTAACCCTCAAACCCTTTGCAAACCTAACCGTAACTCTCAACCAAACTAATTACCCTTTGCAACCCTAACCCTTAAATAAACCGAGAACTCTTTGCAACCCTAACCCTTAAACAAACCGAGAACTCTTTGCAACCCTAACCCTAAACCAAACCAAAAACCCTTTGTTACCCTCATTCTAACCCTAAACCAAACCGAAAACCCTTTGCAACCCTAACCAAACCAATAACCCTTCGAAAACCCGAACCCCTAACCCTCAACCTAACCAAAACTTTTTGCATCCCTTACCATAATCAAAACCCTCAACAGAACCAAAAACTCTTTGCATCCCTTACCATAATCAAAACCCTCAACAGAACCCAAAACCCTTTGCACCCCTAACCTTAACCTAAACCCTCAACCAAACCAAAAACCCTTTGCACCCCTAACCTTAACCTAAACCTAAACCCTCAACCAAACCCAAACCCTTTGTAACCCTAACCTAAACCCTAACCCTCAACCAAACCGAAAACCCTTTGCACACCTAACCTTAACCTAAACCCTCAACCAAACCGAAATCCCTTTGCATCCCTCACGCTAACCCTAACATGACCCTCAACCAAACCAAAGGGTTATCCCTTAGCACCCCTAACCCTAACCCAAACCCTCAACCAAACCGAAATCCCTTTGCACACCTCACCCTAACCCTAGCATGACCCTCAACCAAATTGAAGGGTTATCCCTTTGCTCCCCTAACCCTAACCCAAACCCTCAACCAGACCGAAATCCCTTTGCACACCTCACCCTAACCCTAGCATGACCCTCAACCAAACTGAAGGGTTATCCCTTTGCACCCCTAACCTTAACCCAAACCCTCAACCAGACCTAAATCCCTTTGCAACCCTAACCCTAACTTTTGAAAAAATAAAGCCTGGAGAACTGTCACTGTAGCAAATCTCAGATCACAAATAAGTAAGACATGAGATGAAAGATCTAGCAAGATGTACATGTAGATAATGAAATAGCAAATGTATGTTTGTACATATTCACATTTGCACCCTTGTACATAGCCACATTTATGTAGAACAAAAAGCATATGCACTGTGAGAACAAAAATACTCCATGGTTATGAACAGTCCACATTCTAAGATGTCATACCCCAATCATACTTTCTGATATAATAATATTCTAACAATAAATATTTAATTTAGGTACATGTACTTTCTTAGTGTTCACAACCACCATACGAGGTTCTCAAGCTGCTCTGAGATCAAACCCACTCTCGCTGGGCTACTGATTTCGGTGCCATTGAAGGAATTCCTTCCTACCGGTACATATTTATAGTTTTAATTCATTATTCCAGATAATGTTAATACTGATGTCTTTTAAAATGAACCTTCACGGTCTCAAGACATACACGTTAGACAATATCAAGACAATTTCAATAGCTTTTTAATAACCTGAACAAGATTTTTATAGGCAATACGATCAGGTACTGAAAATGCTGTAAGTAGATTTCTTGAAAGTTTTATTCATTGTTAGTTTAAATTTCCTGATGCATAATGCGACAAAATAAGATGATTTACCTTCACCCCAGCTGAAATTGTTAATTGCTATTGATGAAATTTAAGAATATAGTCCAAATGCAATGTGCAATTGTAAAGGTCTACAAATATTTTGCCCTGTCAACATTCAAGAGTGCATCTCAAAACAAGTGATAAATATTTATATTGGTACAATTTATGGCACACCATCATGGTATCCTACTAGCTGTCATGCTATAAGATTATATACATATTCATTCATTTGAGACAAAAAAAGAAAATCAAGTGATTCTGATGAGTTGGGACTGAAGTTGTTGACTTCTAATTTAAAAACCATGTCAAATTTTACTCTTAACAGGTAAATAGCAACCACACAGCTATCAGATTTAACGCCTAGAAACAAGATTATAAGAGAATTGATATTTCTCTGAATATATTTTTCATTTAGGAAGGAATGATTTCAGAACTGGATGTGACCAATCTTCATGGTATATACTGTACGTGTAGCTTAAAGATATTTCATGTTTTAAACTCAATAAAAAAAGCATCTTTATGCTTTTATTTCAACAAAAAAAGGTTCTGCTAAGTTTATATCAAATTTAAATACATTTATTAACAATTCTAGAATATTGTATCAATCTGCCACAATGACAATGAAGGAAATCAATGTGATTGTTACCATTACTTGAAATAGAGAACAGAAGATTAGCACCATATATATTGCCTATTCCCATACAAAATAATGAAAATTGATGCACTAAAATTGTGAATGTAAAAGAATTGCATTTCCAAAAATAAAATCAAGATATACAAAGACACAACATGTGAGATTAAAACACAATTAAAAATTCATTGCATAATTCATTAATTCATTAATATGCTAAGCTTTGGTGAATATAATCAGCAGCAAAATTACACGGTTGATAAGTACTTGAAAATATATACAAACAAAATTGCACTGTCTCATGAGATTGTAAGCTTAAAGATAAACTCCAGTACTGGTAAAAAAAAAAAAAAAAAATTCTCACAGAATCAAACGAAACTTACACTGAATGTTCAAGATTACAAATAAATGACATGTGCCAAACAATTTTGGAAGAAAATGTATACTGGCTGAGTAATGAGCATAGAAAGACAAGGAAACCAAGGTAGTACCATCCCCGACACCATGTGTATTGTCCCATATATAGCTTTGAGTGTTTGTTACTTTACCAAGACTCGGTCAAATTTATTATGATTTTGATGACTCCAGAACCTTGCAGTGCACACCAATACTTACATGCTACATGATCAACTGTTTCTGATCCTTTCACACCTTTTCTTTCACAATGCAATCGCATTACCAGTACTAAAGTTTATCTTTAAGTACGCTTGTGCACATTTGTTCTGGTTCTAAACAATCAAAGCAAGAGAACTTTGGATGACCCCCACGCTCAACTCTGCATCAATATGAACTAATGTGAAAGTTGCATGTAAGGCTAATATTTGATAAGTGTATAGTGGCAAGAAACACCAAACATTTAGAGCAAAACAAACTCATGCATCTGTTCCACTTTATTTGTTTAGCACATCACGTCACCTCCGCATATAGATAGATTAATTTCACAAGTTGCACTGATTTTGCACTGAGAGTATTATTTTCTAAGCTCTAGCTTATCCAGGCCTCTATAGTCCTACCTAATTCCAACATATTGCTACCTCATGGAACTAAATCCCTTGGTAAGTTTTTTTTTAAACACTTGACCGAGTATACGAGTCATGTCATTGATCATCAGGACCTGTATTCTATTCAATACTTAAGTACTTAGTATTTGGCTTAGATAAAATACTTAGCCAATTTTGGTACTAAATTCAAACTTTTTGGCTTAGTATTTAACCCTAAATTTAAGACAGCTCCCTACCAGACTTAAGCCAATTATCTGGAGGCCTTGATTGGCAGGCATATGGTTTTCTTACGCAGTATTATAACCTGCTCACAATTATATTAGCGCACATTTATTGTGACGCATCAATCTGCATTACTTTTGATTGACTGTGTGATGCCACCAATGCTTATCAGTAAGTATTTTACTGAGATTTTGTCTCAGTAAGTAAAAGTCTAAAAATGCGATTTGAATACGAGATAAGTAAACTATTTAGCTTAGCCATTTACTTAGTTATTCTTACTTATAGTTAGTATTTCTTACTTATTCTAAGTGTTGAACTGAATACTGGCCCTGAGTCATAGAAGGTCGTCTACATGGAAAGAAGATGAGGGGTAGACATCGTAAAGACTTTCTAGATGATTTAATCACAGAATGTGGAGCAACAGAATATGAATAACAGAATACGCTGAAGACCGAGGTACTTGGAGAGACACTTGATGTAGAATTCTGACTGGGTCACTGAACCTGTCATAAACTGACAGATCATTATTGATGATGGCATGGTACCTTCGCCCAGGTGTTCAATGATTACCAGGTTGGATTTGAGTCACGTGGTCTGTTCGGCATTGTGAGTATCTCTTTAAAAAAAGTGCTAGAATACTCTTTACTGAACGGAGAAAGTGCATACATGTACCATGTGTGTTACACCAAGCTGAGTCGAATGTCCTGGGGTCCGTTTCATAAAACTTGTTATCTATAACAACTGCTAAAATTCTAAGACAAATTTGCTCTCAGCCAATCAGATGCCATGATTTCAGTAGCTTATAACAGTAGCTTGTAACTTGTTATTGATATCAAGTTTCATGAAACAGGGCCCAGGGTAATATCTTTACAGCGCTGAAGACATCATAGCTGTCTTAGAGGAGATTAACTGGAGTGATTGCATCCCCCGAACGCAGCACGATCCTCAACCTACAGACGTGATTGGCTGTAGACTTCATAGCTGTCTTACAGGAGATTAACTGGAGTGATTGCATCCCACGAACGCAGCATGATCCTCAACCTACAGACGTGATTGGCTGTAGACTTCATAGCTGTCTTACAGGAGATTAAGTGGAGTGATTGCATCCCCCGAACGCAGCATGATCCTCAACCTACGGACATTATTGGCTGTAGACTTCATAGCTGTCTTAGAAGAGATTAACTGGAGTGATTGCATCGCCCGAACGGAGCATGATCCTCAACCCATGGACATGATTGGCTGTAGACTTCATAGCTGTCTTAAAGGAGATTAACTGGAGTGATTGCATCCCCCGAACACATCATGATCCTCAACCTACGGACATGATTGGCTGTAGACATCATAGCTGTCTTAGAGGAGATTAACTGGAGTGATTGCATCCCCCGAACAGATCATGATCCTCAACCTACGGACATGATTGGCTGTAGACATCATAGCTGTCTTAGAGGAGATTAACTGGAGTGATTGCATCCCCCGAACGGAGCATGATCCTTCACCTACGGACATGGTTGGCTATCATTGGTGAGGGCTACAACGCTGTAGACATCATAGCTGTCTTAGAGGAGATTAACTGGAGTGATTGCATCCCCCGACCGGAGCATGATCCTCAACCTACGGACGTGATTGGCTATCATCGGTGAGGGCACCACCGAGAGATGGATGCAGAACAGCTCATAGCACGTCACCCCAGACAACCCAGGAAAGGCATGGCTCACAACTTCTCTGTATAAGCAAAGTAGGAATGACACAATATTTATAAAGATATACCTGTGCTTGAAATTCTATTTAAACTCACAAATCACATATAATTCGGAAAGCAAATACTCTTTTCAATGAACATTGAATATCCAAAGTCAAAGCAAATAAATACCACTGATGAAGGTGATGGGACAAACTATCACTTCCGAGGCGATCTGGATGTAGCTATCTTTCCAAAGCAATCAGGGGAAAGATAGCATATACATTCGGAACGCCGAGGAAGGGATAGTTTAATTGCCATCGCCTGAAACCAAAAGGAGATTATTTGCTATATATTACACATCAGAAACATTTTACTTCTTCCGTTATTTTAGAGCAACAAATCATCAATTAACAGCTAGCAAACGGTGTACGAAACGTACGTACATACGTATATGCGGCGTATACAAGAAAGTGCATTGCACTGTGCAGATAGTACTACTATCTTCAGTGAAAGTGTGTTGCAGTGTGTTGCACTGTATAGATAGAACTACTATCTACACAGTGCAACAAACTTTTCTTCCCCCATCAATGATGGGCGAACTATCTTTCATCACATGATTTACTTAGAGACATTTGTATTAAGCGCTATATAAAAATTAAATATTATTATTATTATTATTGAAGCAAATTGTTTGAAAAAAAATATACTTAAAGGCATCGTTAAACAATTTTAAATCTGAGATGCATGGCTCTACATGCTATCAATGTCTGTGATATGGTGTAATATTGAAGCCCTAAAAGAATTGTGCTTTAAATTGATCATGAAGTGCCTCATAATAGTAAAAATCTTTGAGTGACCGGTTTTACCATACTCATTTTCCCCAATAAACTGTAGGGTAATAAAAAATGTTAGGAAATAAAACCGTTTTCCAATCATAAATAGCTTGATAATCTGACAGGTGATCGGCTTTTAAAAGTCATGGGATTCCTGACTAACCTAATGTTTTATAGGCCTAATTATGATTGCAGCATGAGCTAAATCCAGATTTTTTTTTAGAATCTGAGGCAAAGATACCCAATCCCTTTAATCAAAGCCATCTGTGAGTGTTTTTATTCCAACCACGTAAAGTGATATTTACCTGAAATACTTTCCGGCTAGTATACCAGGTATCGGACTCCTCGTGTTTCTGGGGAGTCCTCTGTTGAACACGAGGAGACCCTGCAGGATGGAAGAAAAATAATTGCATTGTTAACCCACTGTATACATTAATCGGATGAACCCGGTACTGAAGCCTATGGGAATGAGAGAATTCAGAAGTCAATGGGTTAAAATCCAACACTGACAATGTATTGATGTGTAGATATACAAGCAGTCACAGTAAGGTCAAAACTTTTAAGTGTACATTTCTAGAGATGTACATCCTATGGCAGCACCGTGATTTCTGCCATTCTACCAAGCACCTCATAAAAAGGGAGAATGTTTGTAGCAACAAAAGGTATGGGATTAGACCCCATTCTTATTTAGACAAATAAAACACAACAACTGAAATCAAACAAACAGAAACTGTCTGTGACCGAGTGACCTGGTAATGAGGATTAATGCCTTACCAAAGGGCACTAGCGCATCGACTTGGTTTTGAACCCGGGTCACCGGATTACGAGACCACTGCTCTACCGACTGAGCTATCGCGCCTCCTCCTAAAACATATAATTAATGTTTTTCATTCGTTCATTAGTGCAAATATTTTCATGAGTTCAAAGATTTATGTTCTATTCAACGAGGCGTCTATTAAATTTGGCTGACGCCTCATTGAATAGAACGTTAATCTTCCAACTAATGAAAATATTTGCACTACTGACCTCATTCACTATGTTTGTATACTATTGGAGTCACCTCTTGCCCATAGTTCTAACCAGAACCTCTCAAGACAGTGTATATTTTTTTTTGATACTATAAAATATCAACACACTTTATTATAGATCTTTGGTTGTACTAAGAACACAAAACTATATAAGGAAACACTGTGAAACTTACGCTTGGGTCTTCAAAGTATAGGAGATAGGAGAGTGTGAAGTCTCCCTCTCGAACTGTTTCCATCACATAGCCTTGCTGCAGTTTCTCATGACACTGTTCCACCATGTCCCAAACCTGATAGGAAAAGTAAATACTCAATGATTATTCTGCCTTTACCCATTTTACTGAAATTATCAAATAATTGCGTTTTCTAACAAGATCGCTGAAAAACTGTGAATGGCAGACAAAGACTCTATGTTAATCACAACTGAATCGTCCAATTCAGAAGTTAGACTTATTGATGGTGGAAGTCTCCAAAATGACATGCCTTGTTGTGATTGATGCATTTGTCCTCAATCACTTCTCTCTTTTCGGAAAGAACACTTCTTTAGAACAGATCTTTCTAAGAAATTAAGACTGAAGTAGGTTCATTATCTCATTATTATTTGTTACAGGGCCCTGATTACAAGCAAATTTCTGCTTCTAAGGATTTTATTGATTATTGTATACTTTCATTGTAAATTGTTTTATACTGGTTGAATAAAGAATTGAATTAAATTGAATTGAAAAAGTATAGTTGGGCTTTTCAAACTTCAACTTATTCACTCACCTTCTCTTGGAGAAGCTTCTTCTGGCCACCCACATGCTCCGATTCACAGCTGAAATTGATAGAGGGCGCCAACACCTGATCCGTAGTCCTGTTCACATGGACGAAGTGCACCAGGCCGGGAAAGTCCTCCAGGTAGTTGGTCATGGTGATGTTGCGCTCAGCCCGCACCGCTAGGTAGTCGTGGTAAAGGGTCAGTGATTCTATGAGGGATACACGCACATCCCCGATGACCGGTAGGTAGCGGGAGGGGGCGCGCACCAGGGGGGCGTTGCGCAGGATGTAGCAGCGCGTGAAGATGCTCTTGAGGGTCTTGTTCATTTCGGAGAGAATGGATTCCAGTCTGTAGTATGGATAGAGAAGAGGACAGCACATTGCCCATCCATTGTATTAAAGGAAACGTTTAACAATGTTAGATCTGAGATGCACGGCCCTACGTGTTATCAGTGTCTGTGATATGGTGTAATATTGAAGCCCAAACAAAATTGTGCTTCAAAATTATCAAGAAGTGCCTCAAAAAAGTAAAAATCTTTGAGTGACCGATTTGACCATACTCGTTTTTCCCAATAGACTGTAATGTTATGGAAACCATTAGAACAATGCAAAATTTGATTTTGATTTCCAATCATAAATATCTTGATAATCAGACAGGCGATCGGCCTGATGAAGCATCCCGGAGTGGACGTGAAACCGTGAAGTACGTCCAATTGACTTGTTTATATCTGTATGATTGATTCACAATTCCCAGCATCATCTAGCGACACCAGTGTTTTAATAGTCAATTTCACACAATGCATTATGGAAAAAAGTCGACAAAAATATCAGATGCAGCATTGTTATAATACCTAGGAGATGAGGGGATTTAATCAGAATTTTTGGTGGGGAAAGTTTGAAGAGATTTGATGGGCCTATTCTATGTAATACGTGTCCTAATGCTAGAAAAAGTGGTCAAATCGACCCCAATCAACAACAATATGGTCAATTTCTATTGATTTTTCGTTCAAAATCAGGCCAAATTTTCAGTCAGAATCAACCGATGGGTGGACTTTTACATCAAAATTTGATACAAAACTGTGCGCTGATATCAGAACAATCAATCTCATTGAAATTATTACAAAGTTTGGACCACTGTGGTCATTGCAAACTTGTTGAAAGATTTCTACTCGAGAGCTGTAAAATTGGCCTTCTGTGGCTTGACGATCTGGGCACTGTTAATTGTGAATCAACTCTATTAATCTACTACCACATGCTCGCTCCAGTTAGAAAGTTGATTGGCTGAGACGCATTCTTTTGTAGAAAATGTACATGCCATGACATTTTCCAGAGCAAAATGTACTTTACCTTGGTGGCATATTAGCGCTGGAGCCTTGGTTTGTTGTCAAGCCACACCCCTTAGCGATCATCCACTGCTTGATCAGTTCTGTGTGAACCTGCTGAACACCTTGGATCTGCATGGACAGAAACAACACAAAATAGAAACCATTATACAGTCAAACCTGTCTATAGCGACCGCCCAAGGGAAACACAAAAAGTGGTCTTTGTAGACAGGTTCCTTTAGTACATGTTTCAATGAGAAACCATTTTCAAGGGAAACAAAAAGTGTGCTTGTTGTAGACAGGTGGTCTTTGTAGACAGGTGGTCACTAAAGCAGGTTTGACTGTACATCTGAATTTGAAAACTAATCTTGAGTTAACTTGTGCTGAATGTTCAAGAGTACAAATTAATTTCTGCAAAACTTTTTTATTTATTTATAGAAATACTTGTGGGGTATTCTGCAGTTGTTCCAAAAATGTTTAATCAGAGATACCAGTTGGTTTCTCCAGAGGAGCCTGTAAAGAGATGCAGACATTTTGGAGCCTCATATATTATGTACAATATGAAGCCTGTTAAAAACCTGATATGGAAAGGTGTCAGGGTCTGAATGCAGAGATTCATTTGTTAGCAGATATTACTTATATAAAATTTACTTGCCCTCATTACATCATTACCAGAACTCATGATTGAATGATGTACTGAGCGAGACTGAGCGAGACGGGAAGATTCGCCGGCAATTCGCTCGAAGAGTACTCTAGCACATTTTCAGCAAGGGAAAAACTAGGGTGGGGTGCTGGGGCAACGAAAACTGTGCTCCTTATGTAAAGCTTCTCTTCTATCTCTTAATGTAGGGCACTGAGCCCTGCTTCAAAAGTGCCCTACAGGTGCAGTGTAAATCAATTTACCGATCCAAACAGGATGGCTTTGGATGATTAATTCCTATTCCCAAAACAATTTTTTGACACATCGTGGGGGAGGGGGGGGGGGGGCGGGTGCTTCACAAAGATCCTAAGTTGAACTTATCTCTAAATGGGACTTAACAATTATGGAAAGCCGTTAGCATCTCTGAAAATATTTTGTAACAGATATTTTAAAGGGCATAAAATGTTGATTTAAATCATTCATATTTTCTCTTATCATGGGAGATATCATGTTCTTGATGTGGAATTTATGAAAAGTCTAAAAAACTTGAATTTTTACTTTTTAATATATTCTATTTTAAGGCTACAAATGGCTCTCCATAATCTTTAAGTCTAACTTAGAGTTTAGTTCGAATTAGAATCTTTGTGAAACACCCCCCAAAACACAATCTGGTATAACAGCAACTTACCCTTGATTTCTTGACGGCATTGCCAAGCTGCTTGAGATCCGCATCCAGTTTACCAACGCTGCTCTGTCTATGGAGTGCCTCACTGGTCTCCGTCCTAGAGATGGCATTCAAGAGGTCACTCAGACGCTTCAAGCAGTGACTGACCCAGGTCGCGACCTGATTGTTGACCTGATTTAAAGAAAAAAATTAATTAGGTTCAAATGACAGTCCATTAACTTTAAATTTAGGTCATGTTAAACTTGAAAGGTATCTTGTAGTTTGGGACCACGTGGACGCACTTGTGGTTATGAAACTGGGAGTTTACTTGAAGTCATAAACCATAAGCGATCTTTAGGTTAGAGCGATTTATCGACAGCAGGAAGTCCTCACTCAACATTATGTTTTTCTATGGATGTAACTAACTTTGAGGTTACACCAGCTTGCATTTTTATATGAGTGCTTTCCTGGCTTGTACATGTAGTTCAAACTGTGAAATACATTGTTTTGGTCCTATGTGAAACTGGTTGCTGTAAGTGGATCGTTGTTAATAGCTTCTAGGTTTCTCAAACTTAAAGTTTTAAACTATGATGGTCATGGGAACATAGCTCAAATCAATCAATTCATTTAGTAGTTTAAGCGGTACTTGAAATGGCATCAATCATCATTTAAGGCAGAAGGCAGCAACTGACCAAGGAAGTTACCTGATACAAGAACAATCAAATTGGTTACTGTAATTTTTTTATGGCATTCAAGAGATCACCCAGGCGCATAAAGCAGTGATTGTTGCCTCAAAACCGACATCAAATCTGCTTCGTCATTAGGCTTAAAAAAAAGATGTTGTATTGTCCTTTGCAACCGACCCAAAAATCTTGAAATCTATGGTCGGCTTTAAAAAAAAAAAGAAGTTTTTTTAACAGTTTTTTTAGAAAAAAATGTATTAAGCATTCAAAACTGAGAAATATCAGCCCAAAGTGGGAGTAAAAAAAAAAAAAAGTTTTCTGACCAACCGACCCATGTTAGGGCACCTAAGGCCGATGAAAGTGGATCTCATGGTTCTCGTCAGCGCCCGCATCAAATTTTGCTCGCGCACCAAAAAAGTTCAACACTCATCGCTGACGAAATTCCCGCGTCAAAAAGTCCAGATATGAAATTGCCGCCTCAAAAAATCAACAATATTTTCGATTGGCTGCCGCGCGTGGCCCATGTGACACGCGTCCATGGCGATGTCTGCCAAGTCGATCGGCCGATTGGTTGGATACATGGTAAAATCACTTTAAAATACATCGCATAATAGCATAACACATATCCCACACATACCATACCATGCCAGTGTCACTGAAGAACCACATTTGCAATGAAAAATATATCCTAAAATATCACATTTTAGCGATGTAATCGGCGGTCCCGCTACCCAAATCTGAAAAATCGAGTTTCTTACGCGTGTATGTAAGAAATATGGGTACCATAAAATGAGCTTTATTTCAAGTATTTTTCAGATATAGAGCCCGATTTTGTGTTAATCGCAAGCTCAAAAGTATCTCATCGCATGTATTAAATCAATGCAGCCGGACTCCGCAACGCACACACGATATGTCTGTCTAATTCAGATTCCAACTTCCGATCACCGCTGTGCCTGTCTTTGGCCAGGCGAGCACCCTGGAGCTCCGGCGTGGGATACCTGCTCCGCCCGCTTGTGCTATACATCAGCGCGGAAACGCACGGCGCGCGCGAGCGCTTCCTATTGACTTTGTACATGCGGCCGTAAACTGAAACGCTCGGCCGATAACTGGCTCCAAAACAGTGAAAATTGAAATGAATATTGTCATGGCAATTCGTGATTTTTTTCTGGGATTCTTTTTTTGTTTAAATAATAATAATATTTGCTTCATGATTTGAACAAGAAATGATAATAAATAGGAAGTAAAGAGTCCAATAAATAGGATTTTGTCTTAAGTGGCCGAAAACCGGGTCCTTTACTCTACCTACTTACAATAAAAGAATATGAAGGAAAGTACTTGTGAGAAGATAGAAGAAGAAGAACAAGAAGAAGAACAAGCAAGAAGAAAGAGCAGAAGAACAAATAATAAGAAGCAGACTGAAGACGAACAAAGAAAGATGTATATCGCTATATCATCAAGTTCATAATTTAATACCAGTATAATAAAACAGGGCCTTAAGTTTAAGTCAGAAACAAGACAGTATAAATGAAAATGAAATGAAATGAAGATGGTGTCACAGAAACCCAAATATCACAGAGAATTTGGAAGATTGGAGTATGATATTGGTGTAAGAGCGTTACATGTATAATGTACAAGACTATTTCTATTGGTTTGTATATGAAAGATGAATTTGGATCAAAATCCCTCATTCAAATTCCAAATATGCCCGCGAGAACATGAAATCAAAGTCAGATGAAAGATGAAAGTTGATCTAAATCCCTCATCAAAATCTCAACAATGCCTGACGAGAACCATGAGATCAACTTTCATCGGCCTAAAGGGCAATATAACATCTTTTTTTTTTAGGCCTTAGGTTTAGCCAGACCTGGCTCTTGCTTGTGGTACTAACCTCTGTTACCACTACCAAGATGATGCTTGGTAAGAGTCGCACAACATGAAGAACGTGCGGGCTACATGGGCAAGATTGTTGAAGGAATACTGTCATCTGAGCAGCATCTTCCAGTGTCCCTCCTCCTCTCTTCTCTCTTCTACTCCTCCTGGTCGCCCTTGGAGATGGAGATGTAGTGGAGTGGCGGCTTGCAGAGGCCTGGGAAGAGGATGAGGAGGATGCCATCTGAGGCTGATTGCCTGGGGTGCTGTTTTGGGTTGATGTGGCTGATTTGATCGGAGTTGACGGGTGATCGGAGTTGAGGGTCGATGTGCTACTGGTGTCTGCATCACGAGGTTTCGGTCCCTTGTTTGGTAAATGCATGTAGGGAGGATGTTTTAATATGATGAGAACTTCAGAATTCAATTTTGCTCATTTATTTTTATTATTATTGAACTAAACAAGAGCTAGCCTTTTAAAGAGAAAAACGATGTCAGAAAATAGAAGAAAACATTTTTTTTTTTCCAGAGATATTTAAACAAAAAATAATAACTGGGATAACCCAAAATAGCACCACTGTTTAAAACAGAACGCTGATACAAGAAAAAGGTAAGGTGACAGAATGTCATCACAAATTTACCACAAACCATGTTCATTGAATAGACATATATCTCCCCCCCCCCCCTCCCCCAATAAATTAATGCTTACTGACGTGTTTCTGTATCAAAGAGGGAAGGAGTGTGGGTGTGTTTCCCCTATTAAATATCTGTGGCACAGTTTTGATTGTACAGTTATTTCGGACAAATTTTAAAAAGAAATTCAGCCTTTATATATACCTACTCGTTATATTTCAAGTGACACAGTCTATTAGTTTGTTGATTGGAAAGATGACTTACTTCAATTGGAGTATACCAGATGGTTTTGGAGCTTGGGGGTTCAGGGACACGCCCACCTGGGGTGTGGTCGACGGAGGGTATGCTGGCCGTGTCCGCCCCATGACCCCCCGCAAGGTCGCACCAACTCTCCATGTGAGAATCCCCCGATGTACTCATGTCCTCTGACTTCTGACCTTCACCTGACCCCTTCAACCTTGTGGAAATTGTTGCCCCTTGCTGCTCTCCCTCTGATGTTCGCTGACACTCAGTTTGGGGAGGGTTGGTACCGACATCTGATTTGTCTTCCTCTGGGTCATCCGATGGTAGAGGGCTACGGTCTTCATGCGTGTTGGCTGGACTGTAGTATTGGGACTAAAAAGGAAGAAAAGGCAGATACCGGTAATCTGAAAATTCTTCATCCCTGGGACTTAAAGTGACTAGGTAACATAGCCTCAGATTCTGAAACAAAATCCTTGATTTAGCTCATGCTGCAATCATAATTATAAACCTTTAGGTCAGTCAGGAATCCCATGACTTTTACAAGCCGATCACCTGTCTAATTATCAAGATATCTATGATTGGAATTCAAAATATCATTTTTTGTTTTCCAAACAGATTTTATAACACTACAGTCTATGGCGCAAAATGAGTATGGTAAAACCGGTCACTCAAAGATTTTTACTTTTTTGAGGCACTTCATGGTCATTTTGAAGCAATATTTTCAGGGCTTCAATATTATACCATATCATAGACACTAATAGCACGTAGAGCCATGCGTCTCAGATCCAACCTTGTTAAATGATGCCTTCAATATGACAGATAGAATTCTGATAAATGTAGGTTTATATTCATATCCTCATTCTTAACTCTGTGATATTTGGCTTTGCTCAATACAGTAAATTGCGTATAGGGCTAAATAATTTTTTCTTATATAAAAAGTATGAATAATATTTGGCATTTTAAAGTACCGGTAACAGAAATTAAGGTAGAGGAAATAAAGAGAATGGTGTACAACATGTACAAATTCTGATAATTTTGATAAGTGAAATTTGACAAATAAAGGTGTCATGGCCTAGCCGAAACATCACTGCGCAGCAACACCACTTCATGTTCCCCTAAAATTTTGAGCGAGTAGCTTTCTTAAACTTACCCCATCTGACCCTCCTCCCTCTCCAGCACTCAGAAACTCCCCATCGCTGAAGACCCCTGACTGCCTGTTCTCCCAGTCTGATCCTCCTCCTCCTCCTCCCCCTCCTCCTCCTCCCCCTCCTCCTCTCTGAGACGGGGCCTCGTCCTGCATCTCCTGTAGTGGGCCCTTGGGGGCGGGGTAGAGTGACCGGGCTAGATTGATGATCAGGAGGACATCGGATGGGTGGAGCTCGGCTGCATTGCGACTAAAATGCAAGGTGATGATACTTGAAGGCTTAATTGTCAGGGGGTGTTTCACAAAGATTTTAAGTCAAACTTAAAATAGAATACATTCAAAAGCAAAAATTCAAGTATTTTAGACTTTTCATAAATTCCACATCAGGAACATGAAATCTCCCATGATAATAGAAAATATGAATGATTTGAATCAACATTTTATGCCTTTTAAAATAACTTTTGCAAAATAATTTCAAAGATGCTAACAGCTTTCCATAGTTGTTAAGTCCAACTTAGAGATAAGTTAAACTTAGGATCTTTGTGAAACACCCCCCCCCCTGATTTTGCATTTCTTGAAAGCAGACTCAACTGAGCCGGCTGACTGTAAGATAAAGTGGAGTACTGGTAACATGCAACTGCATTGTGAAAGAAACTGTCAAGAAGTTAAATTTTTTGGAAAGGTTGATTTTATAGCACACAGGTATTGCTGAATACTATGATTTAGAATCACCAAAATAACAAGAAATCTGACAATTTTACTAAAATCACATGCAGTGCACACCGATAGGGATAACCTTTTAATGACCCTGTGACCTTTGACCTGTACACCTTATACACCCAAAGTCTTTTCAGTTCATCCATGCAAGCTCATACATACTTGATCAAAGTTTGGTTTGAATTGCTCGAATGCTTTTCAAGTAATGAGATATTTTATTTCTGGCATTTTAAAAATCCCTTTAAGGCTCTGTGACCTGTGACCTGTGACCTCTTTCAATCAAAATCTAATTCATTCTTGTATGGTCACACATAAGCATGTCTTTATCAAAGATCAGGTAATTCTGTGAAGCGGTTCTCAAGTTATCGTGGTAGCAAAGAGCGAGCAGACCACCCAGGAACCCAATGCCTCCACCTTTGGTGGCGAACGCATACAAAATACAAATCAAAATTACCTTGAATATAATGCCAATAGCTTAGCTCCTGTGATCAACATGGCATGGACTGCATTCTTGTCTCCAGCTGACCTGAACTTGAGCAGGACGGATTCCAGGAGACCGATGCAGAGTTCATTCAGGGTTTGGTTGACCTCTAGAGTCTCTACAGCCTAATGATCAGATGATAAGACAGAACAATTTAAAATATACATTAAAGTCATCGTTTAACAATGTTAAAATCTGAGATGCATGGCCCTACGTGTTATCAGTGTCTGTGATATGGTGTAATATTGGAGCCCTAGAAAAAAATGTGCTTCACAATGATCATGAAGTGCCTAAAAAAAAGTAAAAATCTTGGAGTGACCGGTTTTACCATCCTCATTTTCCCCAATAGACTGTAGTGTTATAAACCCGTTATTAAGACAAATTTTGATTTCCAATCATGAATATCTTGATAATCAGACAGGTGATTGGCTTGTAAAAGGGTTCCTGACTGACCTAAAAGTTTATAATTATCATTGCAGCATCAGCTAAATCCGGGATTTGTTTCAGAATCTGAGACAAAGATACCCAATCCCTTTAAATATCTGGGTTCTGAGCATTGAGATGTGAGTTAGTCTAGCAGTATTATCAGTAGTACGGTTAGCTCTCTATTTGCCTTCGTCAGACAGACCCTGGTTCTAAACCAAGTCACGTCTTTCGGATGGTGATGTTAAGTGTTGGCTCAGTCAGTAGAGCGTCCGCCTCACAACCGTGAGGTCGTGGGTTCGAACCCCGGCCGCGTCATACCAAAAGACGTTAAAAGTAAAAGATGGGAGTTGTTGCTACCTTGTTTGGCGTTTGGCGTTCAACAGTAAGGAATAGAGCAACGTCGATCTAGCGCTGCTCAGTGGCTGCCGGGCTCACGATCGATTGGGCAAAAAGAATTTACGTTTCAGTTTAATAAAATTTGGAGTGGACTATTAGGCTATTATTATTATTATTATTATTATTATTATTATTATTATTATTATTATTATTATTATTACTATTATTAGTAATCACATCAGATTGATACAAATCTTTCAAACCCATTGAAACAATGAGATTTCATGAAAACAAAATTATTTTTTTTCCTTCTGATTTTGCCCAGAAGTAGTTTCAAAATTACAGGACCATTAACAGATGCATTAAACACACTAAGAAGCCAACATATGCCTTTTTTGGGGTGTACATGTGTGCATTTTCATTTTGTATTCTGAAGACAGACAAATACAGAGATTCTTGGCCTCAAGATCCTTTTCAACTGCCCCTATTAAAGCTATGTGGTATTGGTAGATAGATAGATAAATAGATGAGTTATTTATACATGTCATGTGACTCACACACCTCCAGGAGAAAAGATTGTTCCCTGTGGTACAGCTCACACCAACTGTCCAAGATGGAGCCTAAGGTATCCCATAATGCATCTCTCTGACTCGGACTATCCTTTCGTAACCTGTAAGGGTGACAGGATTTCAGGTGATGAGATGTTAAGTATCAATATCGCAATATATACCGGTATACATACTAACTTTGTTTCGGATGCATCATTTTCAACAAACATAGAATACTTCATGTGCCTAGCACAAAAGGCTCAACACAGAGTACAGCAACAAATTAGTCAAGGAGGTCAATCTTTCTCTTCAAGCTATCCACATACATGCACAAGTCAAGATGAGAGGATAATGGTTGTGTTACGCATACACGTTGCATGGTAAAAGAATTAAACTCTATCTCAACAAACCTAAGACAGTGTTGTATGTAAGTAATGTCAACACTGACGGTCTTCACTGTCTTGTAAAAGGAAATTCAGATTTTAACAAATAAAAAAATAAAAAAATAAAAAAAAATCACATAAAAACTACTTTACAAGAAGCAAGCCTGAAACTGTTTCAGGGGAGAATTCTTCTTACTGCTCTGTTGATGCACCAAAGAAGAACTGAATAATCCGATGAAAGACCAGCAGCTTTTTGTGAAGGAATTGTTCCGTTTCCTCTCCGTCTCCATTGACTGTAATGTACAGGTGCTGGCCAAACTGAAAGGTGAAAGCAATTTGTTTAAAGTGAAACATTGTAGTTGTTTGAAAAGCCTTAAAACTTTAAAGTTGCTTAAATATGTTACACGTATCAGAAATTTTTTAGGTTGCATACTCAGACTGATAGACTAAGTGTAGTATTTGAATATGTAGTCCAAATACTATAGGCTTATGAACACAAAATGTGTACATTCTGTCGCTTATGTTAAAAACATACGAAAGGGGCTTGCAAACAGAGAAAGCATCAACAACAACAAAAGATCATCAGCTTCTGTTGGCATTTCTTGTTTCTGCTTTAAGTGCGTGTGTGTTGATTAGAAACCCAAAGTCTCCATTACAAGGAGGGGAAAAAGAGGGGGGGGGGGGCGGGACTATGTATCACATGATATCTATTGTGGACATATTACTCACTTGTTTCATGACAAAGATGAAATCATTATTACAGGTGATGCTGGAGTATGGACAGTTCATCTCCGATGAGAGCAGCCCATGAGATGCTATGATGGGGGAGAAGTACTGGGTCACTACGCTGAAGTCTAGGTCTCCAAGGATCTCATCAGGCTGTCAAAAAAAGACAAGAGGAGATGATTGTAGAAAGAACTGTGACCATAAAAAATGGCCAAATTTTCAGAGCTGCCAAGTGTCACGCATTGTGCATCGAGGGCCAAAAAACGCTGTCATGCATGGCACCCACTTATGTCACGCATCAGGGCCAGACTGGGAAAAAAAGAAGAAAAAGGTAGTAATTGCTAGACTACATACTGGCCAACCGCCTCGAGGCCTCAGCTAGCTCATCGCAAAGTTTGTGTACGTATATCGCATGCACGTAACATGCATGCAGGCCGGCTATCACGTCGCTTCACAATTTCGAAACGTACACTTTACACTATGCCCTCGCGCCGAGTCATGAAAATGTCACGCATAGCTGATCTTTGAACTTGACATCTCTGTATTTTGTGGTTTGTCTCATTGGCTTTTGACTCAAAGACCTTAAGATTGTACCCGGTATACCCGATTCCTGAGCAGACAGAACACAGATTTCTGAATACTCTTTTGTGTTTGCTGTGTTATGTCTTATTTACAAGATAAGGTCTCACATACAAGTTTACTCTATATGGTGTATATAAGGAAATCTTTCTGGTGATTAGCCATCAACTACTAGAACTGGGTGGTCCCTGTGCCTTTGGGAATTAGTTAATTCAGTAGTCAGCGGCTTTACTGTACTGACTACAGTTGCAGTTTTGTTTTACTTCACAATTAGGAATTAATAGTGCTGTTAAGTTACAAACTCTCAACTTGTTTTAAACTGAACCAGGTGTAACTGGCTGGAGCCTATGGAAAATGAATCTATACAAACGACAACAACAAAATCCTACTACGATGGTTGCAACTATTTATTTCCTAAGATCTACATATATACATTACCTCTGTTAGGCCTCTGTCAAAGGCAGATTTTGCTAGGTGTTTCTTGAACTCACAATCATTCCACATGAAGACAATGTCTGGCATGCTAGGATTGCGGACTACCAGTAGACACTTCATCCTCGGGTCTCTTTAGACATCAAGTTTTCCTGTTAAAAAAAAATAAATAAATAGACATGACACAGCTAAATTCCAAGATTCTCTACAGGTTTTTATAACTTATGGACAAGTAAAATCGACTCCTAGGTTCCCATCTGAATTGATCAAAAGTGAGAAGGAGGGGTTCCATATTATTTGTTGTTTAATATTATGACAGCACACTCAAATCTTATAAGATAAATTTAAAAAGCAAAGTTTTTCTTCAACTCATTTGTCCATTCACTACAAAGGTTATCAGCCTGTAACAACAATAGATGTGCGCCATAGGGGTCTACATTCACATTAGTTTTTGACCTCAGACTCCTCGATCACCATCATTACTATTTGATTTTGAATAAAAAGTATCAAATACATATAAAGGAGGTGGACTCACAAAAAGAAGGACATTGGAGTAAAGGGAAGGGGGGGGGGGGGTAGCCTGGGTAGGGGCACTGATCTTACACTATAACATAAATGTGTAATGCAACAATGGGGAAGGGCATTGTATCAACTTTGTTTCCTCTCCATTGCTCTTTTCTTTCTTTCTCTTTTGAATGTTTTTTTCTAAAAATAGTTTTTTTACAATTTTTCCCTCCCCCTTCAGCCCACTACTCAGTGAGGAAACTGTGAGATATGGTAAGTAATACATCATGACAAAAGGAGTAAAAGACAATGACGTAACACACCATAAAAAATCCATCTTATTTATTCAATCACTCATTCAGCTCATTTTACATTTATAAATCTTGTAAAGTAGAAGATTTCAATTTCACCTAATGCATAGATCATCTAATCCAGAAATTGATGTTTAGAAGTTTTCCTTAAATTAATAAGAACAGAATTTTTTGAGAAACAAGCACGTGTTCAGTGCTTTCTTTTCTTCTTGCACTTCCCTAAAAATATAATTTAACTAAAAAAATAGTCTACATAGTACATGTAAACAAACATACTGATGGTGAATGGTATCTTTTCAGCTAACTCCGGGAAGCTCCAACACCGGCGCCGCAGCGGCGCCGGTGTTGGAGCTTCCCGGAGTTACTTTTCAGCGAGACCTCGAGGCTCGATTAAGCTCTAGACTATAATTATTATAAAACATCTACATGTATTTCATTAAACATATGTTCAAGGTTAATTGTTCGCCAGGCCCTTAGGAAGGATGATGAATCCTGAAAGGCCCTTCAACCTTCATCATCCTTCCTACATAGTACATGACATAAACATGACATCATGATGTATGTGACGGACTACGTACCTTTCTTAATCACAGAATTTACACTTTCATACGACACTCACGGCCCAAAATAGACTTCTACGCACAAAATCGATTTAAGGCATCACAAGATATTGTATCATGGGGTGTAGGCCAATATATTTATACTTACAAAATACAGAAATTCAGACGGTATAGACCTAACTTAGATCTAGAATAGCATAGATCTAGGGCTTTGTTGATGTGTACCCCTTTAAACAAAACAAAAAATACTTCCGGTGTGGGATCCGGATCCGGGATATTTCTGCGGAATGAGCGGCAGCGCAGCTAGCTAGCTCGCCTACCGTCGGGCGGAGCGGCAGCGCAGATCTATCGAGAGCATCCGCACCGCTGCTTTAAAATCGAAAATAATTGACCACGGACTCGCAGTACCAGCACATTAAGGCGGATTTTGATTAATAATACTCAATTCAAGTGGATAGTAAATGGTGAGTAAATTGCGAGTATGCCAGTATTTCAGTTAAGAAATAGTCTGTACATTTCAGGCAGTGAGATCGCACATTCCATGAAACATAATTCATTCAGGAGTGGAACTGGAATTTTGTGGAAGTCTCAATCTCCAGCGAAATATAGCTGAGCCCGAACCGCCGGCGAGGCACGGGGGAGACTCACTGTGCTTGCACCGAGCTCGAGGTTCCGGAGATAGAGTAGCTACATGCAGCTAGAAAGTCTGTTTGTTTCTGAAAATACTTGTAGAATTTTAGTATTTCAATTGGGCTTAACTTCTTAAATTGTTATTATTAATTTTATGCCCTGTGTCACTTGACGAGGGACGCTATACTTGGCGCCATGACAACATACTTTTGTATCTTGCCGAAATTATTCAAGAAGGCATCGCCTCTCTTCGCTACACTATTATGTACACAGACCTGAAAGTAGAGCGATGGACAAAAGAAGGCATCTCCACAATTCCACTAGAGTGTACCCAAACCAACCTCATCCCAGACATTTGTGTTTTTTGGAAGAACTTAAAGAAAATCCTCATAATTGAATTGTCAGTTCCCTTTGAAATGAATGTAGTTAAGGCACATGAATATAAATCGAACAAGTATGCCCCGTTAGTTGCCGATATACAGGCTAATGGATATTCTGTGGTGTATCTTCCTTTGGAAATCGGCTCTAGAGGTCATATTTCGCCAGACAATGTGACGAGGCTAAAGCAGCTGTTGAAAGAAATAGGAAAACCTGTCAATTTGAAACAAGTTCGACAGACTCTATCCAAACTATCTATTGTTTCTTCGTTTGTCATTTACTACTCAAAGAATGCCAATAAATGGGAAACCAAAATTCCCCTTCGCATTTCAAGTATGTAATTACTCACACACACAAATTGGTCAATACACCTTGTAACCAGTCTTATATTTTCTTTCTACTGCTCGCCTCTTTTCATTGCCTGGCACTGATAGAATCCTCTTGTATTAAACATTAACTCAAATCAAACTTTTATAATACTCATTATGTATGTTTCGTATTTATTAAGTTGATATATCAAATGAAATTTCAATATTTAGCTCCTCTTATTTCATCTTTAGCTAGGAATATCCATAACTCCTCAGCTTTCACTATGTTGTAAAATAAGTTAATTTTTCGTTGATGTTACATAACATTATTCACTGTATTTTTACATGTATGTACTTTTAATGCCCTGCATTTTCCAGTAAACTGGAATTGTCCTGGGCTATTGTTCTCCTTTGTTGTGCAAGTTCTGAACAATAAAGTGATGTTTAAAAAAAAAAAAAAAAAAAAAAATAGATCTAGTATCTATGATTAGATTCTAGATCTAGATCTAATAATATTCGGCGCTTGTTCAGAAACCTATCCAAAATTTGACCCGTAACTCCGGCGTGGAGATACCCTGCCAAAACATACCCAAAATGAAGTAAATATTCATTAAATGTCCAAATAAAGATCATGAGTTAAAAGTTGTTACGTTTATTACTTGTTTCATGTCAATTTTCTTGTTATTTTTGGAGTATTTTTCGGAAAAACGTTGATATTAATTAGTATACAGGGGGCCGTTTCTCGAAACCGTCATAACTACAAGATCAACGACATCTCGCCACTGTCACGCAACTTGTCAGCTAAGTGTTTCACGAAGCCGTCTTTGCCAAGATGAGCGACAACTTCCGCGACAAGCGAGTTGTCACTGCTCCGAACCTGTCATATCTTTTTAATTGCTGTAAAGCGCCATCACAAGTCAGTTTGTTGCCATTCCATGGGCCGCGAAATGGACGATTAGTTTCACTATCATTTTGAGAAAAATATAGACGAGTTCGGTACGTAATTCTCTGGGATGCGAAATACAAATGTACAAAAGTGAGAATACAAATTATACAGAAACTTTAAAAAGCTTAATATAAACATTAAATCACAAATCATTAAACTATAACATATAAATAAGAGAGGTAAGAATGTTACACACCGTTTTCCATAGTCGATCCATAGTCTTTTCTTAGGATACCGTCATACCTTTGGGGCCTATGTGCATTATTTTTCCCTCTCTATTTACTTCTTCCAAATTATATTTTCAATATCAAATCGATTATATAACGAGTATTTATGAGACTCTAGAATAAAAACTGGCTGAGAAAAGACATTTTGCCTAAAATTCCTCGTCACAATAAATAAAAAAGTACGTATTGATAAACTATCACATTACGGTATCCTTCAACTAACTTTTGATTCGACTGTCAAAAAAAAAACACTCACCGGTTTTTCTTCAATTTAAGAATCTTTACAGAAATATGCAAATCGTTTGATGATGTGAATATGATAATGACACTATTTATTATTTATTTTAGGAGAATTTATATGTATATATTTATTTTTGAACAATTTTAGCCCCAAAACTTGTTTTGGGTTATTCTTGATAAATCAAATGGATCGTGACAAAGACTATGTTCTTGAGCTGCTAGTATCGTGATATATCGATATCATATGTCTGTCATGGCTTTGTGAAACGGTTTATCCGCTTCATGACATCTCCGTAGGTCGTCGACAAAGATATGACTGTCATGGAGTTGGTTTCGAGAAACGGCCCCCAGGTTTCACGGCAAACCGCTGCACAATACAAGTGCATACTGATGGTGGGTTGCAGGCGAGCACCCGCCTGTGTGAAATTATCTACCAGCCGCTGGATAAGCAGGGGGGGGGGGGTAAGAGGACGATGTTTCATTTCGTAAGGTCAGCTTTTTTGGGTCACCCATTACCAGTTTTTTAATTTTAATTATATATTTTTTTATTTAAAAAAAAAAGAGGAGGGGGGTTGTACTCCAAAACACACACATTAAAAAAATTAAAGGGGGGGGGGGTTCAACCCCCCCCCCCCCCCCCCCTGCGTACGCGCCTGGGTGTGACCATAGTTTGTGTGTGACGCTGGTGTTCCATCTTCCAGTGTCTCCTACATACATGCTTCAAACCCTGCAAGAAAGAAGCTAGAGCATAGCCATGGCAAACCCTGCAAGAAAGAAGCTAGAGCACAGGCAAAAGTCATCATGCTAATCTTGCGCGGTTTCATTGCAGTCCCAACAACTGTTAACACCAACAAACGTTTATCCAAGCTCACATACATGTACCTCCAGAAGAAATACCATTTTTCAACAATACCACTGCAGGATAAATGTATTTCACCACTCTTTCTCTCCTAGTGTCATCAGCCTGCAGCATATATACTTCTGGCATCTACTACTAGAGCATCCCCCACCCTTAACACAGTTCAAAAGGGGACTGAAGGAATGACACGAGGCTAAGGCCAGAGTAGACAGTATACACAGGGGGAACGTTTTACCTGCACCACCACACTTTTACTTATTGACTACCTACTAGAACTTAGAAGGACAGTTTTGCAGCCACACCCTGCACACTGCACAAAATCACCGCACAAATTATGAAGATACTCTATCAAGAGGCCGGTACTCAACTGGAAGAAGGTATCTCAAAATATTGTCAACATTTCACAAATCTCATGACTTTTCCTTCAGATGTAGCACATTTCCTACAACTGCAAAAACAAATTGTAGTCTAAAATTTGGATATTTATTTGATCTAAATCTAAAGTAATTTGTGTAGAATATGAGAAATCATGGATCGAATATCACATTCCTAATTATTTTTTAATAGTCTGTTAAATTTGAACCCCCATCATATATGAGCCTTAATATCTTCAGAATTGCTAAACATGGCTATACCGGTAACCTTGTGTATAGTCATCTTCAATGGCCTCGTCCAAAGTGATGGAGGTTTGTCTCCTTTAATTATTTACGGAAAAAAAACTTCCAAATGTATCTAGTATTTGCCTCAATGATTATCACAATTTAAAGTACCCGTACAAGGAAATCTATTCAAGAACTGGCTTAGTACCTACATGTATGTTAACACTTACATCTGTTAGAATTTAGAACTTTATTGACTCTTTGACCCCCTCTCGGGGTATTAGGGTACTAACAAACCTAAAAGCATAAATAGCAATGCATGACTTATGAATACAATTCTCATACATTATACATAGACAATGACACAAAGATACAGACGATAATAGGTATATAGTGTATGAAAGTATAAACATGAACAATGAACCAACTAGTAAACACAAAGTATATATACATGTACAATGTAGAAAGTGACAATAATAAATGTATAGGTATAATGCAGTCTATTGTGTTAGATTCCCTGTGCTACTGACTGTACATGGTATTTATGCGCTTTGCAGCTGTTCATGGAACAGATTTGTGCAAATATATTTACATTTAGGAAATCGTTTGATTAAGAGACCTCACTCGATCAAGCTCGCTGCTGTTTAACACTTCTTTGTTAATAGTGTACAGACACCAAAAATCAATTCGGACCTCGGAGTATTGAATTAAATTTACATGTATAGTGCACAATATACAAGTATACATGGTTCTTATGAAATAATCATTTCACATGATATATTATGAGATTCAAAATGTTCTAGATTCACAGGACTTTACATATGTATTTTCTGTGAGTTTAGAATGCCCCCCAAAATTCCCATACATTTCTTGTTACATTGTTTAATTACCCTATTTTGTCAATATTCTAGTGAATTAGTAATGAAGTCTTTTTGTTATTGTTTCTTTTCTCTCTTTCTCTCTCTCTCTCTCTCTCTCTCTCTCTCTCTCTCTCTCACATACTAGACACACACAACACACACACACTCACTCACTCACTTACTCTCTCTCTCTCTCCATTTCTTCAGATACTGGTACATTCATCTTCTGACTTGATTCCTATCAGGATGCTGCTGTAAGAAGTAAGAATCTGTTCTTCAATCATTATCATCATCATCATCAGGTTATTGCCATTATCGTCAGCAGCAGCAGCAACTTCAGCAACAATTTCATCACCATCATCATCACCACCACCATCACCACCACCATCACCACTGGTATCATCCTCCTCTCCCCATCACCATGGCAACTCTTAAAGGGAAGATTGGCTACCCCATCCTCGGAGACAGCTCTGTGGAGTTCTACCGCAATGTACCGCTATACGTCAACAGCCGAATCGAGGAGTACGGAGCCAGGATCTTCCAGGCGAGGATTCTCAACAAACCCACCGTCTTTGTGTGCTCAGCAAATGCAGTCAAGGAGTTATTGACTGGTAATACATTGTAATAGGGCAAAACATTGATCCACATTTGCCACACTCAACCCAGGTGATGTAATTGGGTACCTGGTAGGAATTAATTCCTTGAGATGCTAGAGCGCCTTAATGGCAGCCATGCTAAAGCCAGGGTAATAATCGGGAGTGCTAGGAGTGTAAAGTCTGACAGACATTAGTGCTATACAAGAACCCACTATTATTATTACTATTATTCAAATCATTCAATTTGTGTGATGGAATTTATTAGTTGTAAAGTTGGATATCAGCATACTTTGTCTTATCAAATTTGATATTGATGCATTTATTGTACCTACATGTACATGTACTTGTAGATCTACAGCTGTATGACATCATTTGATCTACAGTCTTCGAGAATTTGCTTACATACATGTAAGGAGGAGGAACTATACGTACATTTGATAAGCATTAATGCAATGGCACTAATATTCATTGTGTGTTTATGGTCCATCATATGTTTGTAAATCCATTATATGTTTGTAAATCCGTTAGTGAAATCCACCTCTATGCCCTTTTTACCCCCCCCCCCCCCCCCCCACCTCCCCCACTCCATCTCACAGAACACCACACTAAGATGGATCTGGGATACAAGGCCATGCTTCACCATCTCTATGGCGATAACATCATGTTTGAAGAAGCAGCCGAGGCAAACAGACTTCATGCTCTCATGCACCACGTCTTCATCCAGAATGCCCTGCTAAACTTTGACAGCATCGTCCAGAAGTTCATCCAGAGGCATTTCAGTGATTTGCATTCCAGGTACTGTATACAGTCACACCTGTCTATAGCGATCGCCCAAGGGAAACACAAAAAGTGGCCTTTGTAGACAGGTGGTCTTTGTAGACATGTTCCTTTAGTACATGATTCAATGAGAAACCATTCTCAAGGGAAACTACAAATGTGGCCTTTGTAGACAGGTGGTCACTAAAGCAGGTTTGACTGTATTACCATGTTGAGTGAATGAGAGAGAGAGAGAGGGGGGGGGGGGAGGGAGGGTGGTTGATTCAGTCATGGTGTTTTGTCCCACTCCTCCTGATTAAAAGGGCTGCTCAAACCTCACCAATAACTTTAACAAGAATTTGTTCCCAAATTGCTTCCCTGTTGTTTTAAGCCCATCTGTACTAGTGTACAGGAGGGATTAGACCACCCTGCAAGGTCACTGGACAGGTGGTTATCTCATCAAAGCAGCTCTCCATTAACATAAGAAAAAGAGGATCATGGGGGACTGATGGTCAACGATTAGGCATTGTTAGTTACATGTATAGGCCTATAGAGGGCGCAAGTAAGTGAAAATTAATTAGGAAAATCGTTGCTGTAGGTCAAACTTGAATGATTCCTGGTACTACCGGTAATGAGCATTTCTCAATGGTTTTATCATGATGTTGGGATTGCTTGACCATCAATTTTTGTTTGTTACGACAGACCTCAAGGATAATATCAGTTTTGAAGTCGATAAATGTACTCTTTCAGTGTGACGTGAGGGGGAGACGATCATAGAGGCAGTGTCCATGGTGTTTAACTGACAAAACCAACAATTTTTTCACTATGAAATTAAGCGAGGTCTGACCACTTAAATTGTTTTAAAGAGATCCAATATCTGCTTTGATGACATTTGCTGTGGGGCTGCAATTAGGGTTAGGTTAGGTTTAGAGTTAGAGTGAGGTATTATGTGTTTGTCCAAGGGTTGAAATTAATTTGTTTATAATTGTAGAACCTTGACTGCAAAGCAATTGTGCTATAGTGTGTTTAATATAATCCCTTTATCATCCTTCATGCATTGCTCAGATTATAGTCAGATATAATGTTTTGTTAACTTGTATAACTGTGTCCAACACATAATTTTGAGAGCAGACAAAAACACTGTCCAAACGCCAAACAGAAACTCAAATATGTGACTCTTGATCATTTTGTGCATTCCTAATCTAACAGAGTAGGTCAAAAGGGTCTTGTTCAGCAAAATCAGTCAACACTTCATTACATATTAATATATATACATGTAGATATACTTAACAAATAACCTTTACCAGGTAATTTTTTGTAAAGTATGTGAAAAATTGAGTTGTCCCGATTTATATTTCTTAAGAATGTGACAGATTAAAGCTTACATCTAAAAGTATTCCGCAGAGGCCCTAATTGAACCAGTCTGCCTTTCATTCTTGAGTTACGTAAAACATACAAAACATCAAATTTTCAAGGGGTACAAGTTATTAATTTGTTAACCGTATATACATGTGTACATCCTTGTTCCATACAGGCCCTCTGTTCAGGTGTATGAGACATTCAAACTGTTTGCGACTGAGCTCATGTTGGCGCTGTTCCTTGACCTTGACGTTTCTGATTCTGCAGACCTGGTTCATGATGTAGCGTCGTTGGCAACCACACATTGGCATGGTAACGTAGCCTCGAGAGATTCTTATCAAAATATTGTTTTACAAGATGATGATGATGATGAGGATGATGATGATAAGGATGATGAGGATGATGAGGATGATGATGAAGATGAAGATGAAGATGAGGATGAAGATGAAAATGATGATGATGATAATAGTGATGATGATGATGATGATGGTGGTGATGATGATGATGATGAAGATGATGATAATTATGATGATGATGATGATGATGATGACGGTGATAATTATGACAATGATGATGCTTATGATAATGATAATGATGATGATGATGATAATTATGATGATGAGGATGACAATGATCCTTTCTAGGAGAAATACTAGTACAGGGTAAAAGTTGAGATGTCATGAATGTATATTTCTTATCTTTGATTTTAGGAGTGATTTCTGTTCCCATGAACTGGAGTGTTTCATATTGGTCATCATCCTGCAAACGAGCTGTAGAAGCAAAGGTAGGCTGCTCCATAGTATCCCTCTAATCTTTCAATAGTTCTGGGGGGCGTTTCATGAAACAATTAGTCGGTGGTTGTCACCGACTAATACCATTTTCACTGACAATTTTATCGACTCCAACTATTTTCCAGGGCTCTGATTGGTCAAATTTAGACAGCGCTGACAGTCGTCGGCGGACAAATGTTGATGAAACGCCCCCCTGTTCTCGTTCCTCAAGCATCATGTTTACACTTATTACAAGGGATCTGCAAACTTAAAATGCAACTCAGTGGCTGCCGGGCTCACGATCAATTGGGCAAAAAGAATTTCCGTTTCGGTTTAATAAAATTTGGAGTTGACTATAGTATTAGGCTATTATTATTATTATTATTATTATTATTATTATTATTATTTCTAAGCCTCCATGCTATCCTGAAAGCATAACAATAATAATAATACAAACAATGGTAATAATGACACTACCTGCATTTATATTGTGTACATATCCATCCCAGGGCATGTTCAAGGTACCTACAATGTACCTCTATTACTCTGGTTTTAGCCAAAGCTGTCCTACACTGTTGAAAACATTTCATGGACTTTTTTCCTGCCCGGTACAGTGTAACCATTTTCTACTCCTTGGTTTAGAGTGGCGATTAGTTGTTGATGCTGATGAATGTCTTGCAAACAGCCAGGATTTGCTTTATCGAAACCTCAATCATTTCTTTTGGTTGTAAAACAGGACAAACTATTGGAGCGAATACGAGATCGTCTCGCCAGCCAGACAGACGAGGGCTCTTTCCTAACGAGGGCCAGGGAAGCTGGATTCAAGGACCATGCAGAGCTTGAACAGCATATCCTGCCCTTTGTATCAGCATTGGTCCCTAAAGCAATAGCTTCCCTCCTGGCATCTTTCACTCTTGCTCTCTGCTCTGAAAACCAGGTGATATGCAGGGACCTGTTTCACAAAGTCTTTTTTTTCAATGACAAATGACAAAAATCAGTGACAAATCTGCTGAAAACCAATCAGAAGCAAGGACTTCACTAGCTTAAAACAAAAACTGTTATTTGTCAAAGATGAGAAGTTTTGTGAAATGCTCCCCCCCCCCCCCAGGTCTGCAGTGTAGTTAAAGGGATAGTTGAATTCTTGTTTAAGACCGCAAATGCCTTCAAAGTGCATGGTTATTGCTCTTATTCTAATTTATGACATTTCTTGAACTCTTATATGACCTAAAGTTGCTATGAATGTAATTCTAGACCCCAAAATGTGTGAAATTTAGAGTAAATAAAACCATACAAATTGAGCTTCACTTTCAAAAAGATATAGTGACTAACAAAAAGCCAACATTGGCATTGGCTGGGATAAAACGTATAAGGCGCTATCTCGTTTTTTCAAGGACTGGTTCCAAATTATTGAATATTTGTGGGGCCCCCAAAATATTAGAAATGGTTATATTTATGGATACTTCAGCTGTCTCTGAACCGATTTTGATCAAACAAAGATGATATTGTCATTTAAATTGTATGCTCTTTCAAATTTGACACTCAGTTTTTCTTTATCTCACAAAAAAATATTTTGTGTTGCAATCTCTGCAACAAAACTAAACTATCTCTTTAAAATTATACATGTGTTAAAATTATACATTTTGAGATGACATGGGCCAACAGGAGTTGCATTTTTCGTTGATATGGCCTAGATTGTAAGAAAGAAAACAAAATTGTTCAAAATTCTAACTAAAATGATCATGAGAGAAACACCTGTCTTCATTTTCAATAATGATAATAAATGAAATGATGAAACAGATTCTTTTCACATGGCCATACGGAAAACTCTGAAATCATTGATCATTTAGGTTAAGTCGTAATTGTACAGGATAGCTCATACCTGAAATGGCATCAAAATCCAAGGTATCCCAATATTGAAAAGCTTTCAGAAGTTATGTACAGATGTCAGACATGTAAAAATGTATGTAATATATGGCTTGAAAAGGCAAACTTATCGATGGAGACTGCCATACTGCTAGATTGAGCAATACACTTTGTAATACAATTCACTTGTATTTAATTAAGTACTTATGATTGCCAATTATATGGTGTACTTGTGAAATTACCGTGAAGCAAGATTGTAAATGTAAATACGGTCAAACCTTCTTTAGTGACCACCTGTCTACAAAGACCACCTGTCTCAGAGGCCACTTTTTGTGTTTCCCTTGGGCGGTTGCTATAGACAGGTTTGACTGTATGAACAATTATCCTCTATGGACATAATAAATGAAATGAATGAAATAAATGAAATGAATGAAATGAATGAAATTAATGAAATTAATGAAATAGTATAATGTTATATTAAACTTTTCTGTTTCATCACCATGTAGGAAGACATGCAAGAGAAGGCAAGAGAGAGCAGTGATTATCTGGATTGGTGTTTACTGGAGACGGAACGGCTCTGGCCTCCGGTGCTAGGAGGGAGAAGACTCGTCAGAGAGGTGAGCTTTCTTTCGATTTAATTTTGATTAAAGATGGAGTCCACACTGGCTTCAAGTTAGTTTTGATAAATGCAGAAATGTATATCAAATCCCCACTGCACTACATATAGCCACCTGCGCCTTCTATATAGCAAACAATACGTAATCGGTGCCTGTTGGTCCCCCATGAATCCCTTTTTCTTATGTTAATTGAGAGCTGATTTGATGAGATAACCACTTGTCAGTGACCTTGCAGGGAGGTCTAATCCCCCTGGCCAAACTAGTGCAGACAGGCTTTAGAAAAAAACAAAAAAACAACACTCTATCACTATCATAATAAATCTTTCTTTTGTAGCGTATATCACATTATAGTCTAATTTTCTTGTACACTACCAAGGAAGTTTGGATATTAATACCTTGGCTTTAGCCCGAGGAACCATAATAAGCGCACAGTGCCCTTTCAAGGAACGAACCCTGCCATGTACTCATTTAACACAAAGGTGTTTTATAGAGAGAAACTATAGATAAGATGCCTTGTCTAAGGGCACATTCACCAAGCAGAGATTTGATCCCTTAACCTTTTGATTTAGAGTCGAGTGAATGAACCACTACACTACAATGCTCCCAAGATTAATAACAATTTTGAGGAAAAAAATGTTGTAAAGGATATGAAAGTTATGAATCTGTGATCAAACAAACATGAATTTTGCAACCCTGTGATTTCACATGCATCTTGCGAGCAGCTTTTTTTTCTTGAATAAAAACCCTTTTATTATATCTATGCTCAAGATAAAGTAGTAGTAAAACAATTTAACAACCAAGAAGAGGGAATCATGTATTCTTATATCGGAATAGACTTCCCCTTGAGACTAGGTATAGCAATGGCATTTATATGTGTGTGTATGCGTGATTGGGTTTTAACATATTTGCATATTAATCAGATATGATCATTATGCCCGAGACAGGCCTTTAACGCAACCGTCCGAAAGACGTGACTCAATTTTGAACCTGGGTGCAATCAGAGTCATTTAGTAGACGAAGACAGTGAGCTGACCGACCATACCATGGACATTACCGCTAGACCAACTCACTTTTCTATCTAACCAATGTTAAGGTTACTTAGACTTTAATAGTGCAAATCACTAAGAATTTTGTTACTTGCAAGCTAGTGGTCCAGGGCCTGTATTCCTTATGCCTAGGTCACATATAAACCGGGCCCTGTACGATTTTCCCTGCCCGGCGGCTTGCCGTGGTTTTAGAGACCGTACGGGAACCGTCCGATTTTCATTTCTACGGCATGTGTGGTCACATATTCTGCGGCACCCGGAGGTGCCCGGAGAAAATTGGTCGCGTGAAATGCAAGGCGCCCATAAGGGTGCCGGCAGGGTGCCGGCCGAGTGCCGACCGGTTACCTTACGGGCTCCCTCCGATGAGCAGGTGTACCAATGGATCCCGGAAGGTGCCCTGCCGGGGCCCGGCCGGGTGCCGTGTGGTGCACTGAACTACAGAGCAAGTCAGAAAAAATGTCCCACTTTTAAAAGTTGTATTGTTTAAAGTATGAATATTTAATCATGGGTTTCATGATACATCTTGATAGAGTTATCCTCCCAATACATTAAGGTACCATTTTCATTTGAATCTCTGCATGCATCACTGAATCAAATATCCAGAAATGACAATAAATATTAAATTGACATTGAATTGAAATTGAATATCAGACAATCTTTACAAGACTGCCAGATCTCACTTGCGCCAAGTTACTGGGTGAGGAATAAAACAGTGCATTGAACAAAGACAGTCAGACACGAGCACACGCACACACCACTACACGTTTATGGCGTCAAACGAGGACCAAGTTTATTACTTGTGTGTGTGTGCATGGGTAATTGCCTTCAACCACGGACCACTCCATAGAAAACTACATTCAACCGCGGACGTACCTGCTATGGGATGATAGCAGGTAGCGCGCCTTTCCCGCGCAGTCATCGAAGGGGGCGCTGTGACATTTCGCGATACACATAGAACTGATCCACTCGATGTTGGCTACACGCTGTGACATCTAATATTCAAACGCCCCCTACTTCGTAAATTTTATACGGCGAAAACCAGGATCGCAACCGTGGACGGTCCCCCATTGCAGGTACGTCCGCGGTTTGCGGTAGTTTTCCATGGAGTGGTCCGCGGTTGATGGCGTTTACCAACGCACACTCACCCACACACACATACACACCCGCACACACACACACACGCATGCACATGCACAGGCACACGCACACAAATGAGCATTCAATTCCCGACAAGGCCCACCCAAACTGTTACTTTTTGTCAGGAATTCTTGTTATCGTACGAAAAGTTGAGTGGCCGCTGTCCTCTTGGTGCGTATTGGCGGATGTTGTGCTTCATGATGATGATGATGATGATGATAATGACGATGACGATGATGATGATGATGATAATGATGATGATGATGATGATGAAGATTAAGATGATGACAATTATGATGATGATGACATGATGGTGGTAGTGAATGTGTACAAAAGGGAAAGATTGCTCAATCAGAAAAGGGGTAATTATGAAACAATTATTGTCACCGCGTGTGTTGTGTGTGGGTGAGTGTGCGTGTGCGTGTGTTTGTGTGTTTTTGTTTGTCTGGCTAATAGGATAATTGAAAAAAATTGACTGTCTTTGTTTAAAACATTTCGAGATGCCGCCGTGAGGGACCCGCACGGGCAATATTCGTTTTAAATGGCCCCCGACGGCAGACGCCTATTGTTGTGCATATCACCCGGTGCTCTTGAGGGGCCCGTGAGGGCGCCGTAGGGTACACGTATGGAACCCTTGAGCACCGCAAGGCGCCCTTAAAGATTTTTCATGAGAATTGACCCCCAAAATCGTGAGGGGCCCGTCCAGGCACCGTCCGGAGCCCGCACGGGACCCGTAAGGTGCCCTACGGGGCCTTTACGGGCTTTCTACGGCCTAACGGTCAGATAAAAACGCCGGGAGAATTGGGAGCAGCCAACCCAGCACCACGGCGCCCGTATGGCTTAAGAAACTGTCCCGGCGCCCGTAGGAACTTTACGGCAACCGGCCGGATACCGGCCGAAAATTCCAAAAATGTCTGTTTTTACTCGCCGTACGGGCCCCGGAGTGTATATGTGAAAGCCCCATTACTTAAGTACAAAATTTAAGCTTTTTACTTAGTGTTTGACTTAGATAAAATTTAACCCTAAATTTAAGACAGCTTCCTACCAGACTTAAGCCAATTATGTGGAGGCCTTGATTGGCGGGCATATGGTTTTCTTACGCAGTATTAGCTGCGCACAATTATATTAGCACATATTTATTGCGACGCATTAATTGATCATTAATTTTGATTGATCGTGTAATGTCACAATGCTTAACAGCAAGTATTTTACGTAGATTTTGTCTCAGGTAAGTAAAAGTCTAAAATGCGATTTTGAATACAAGATAAGTAAACTTCTTAGCTTAGCCATTTACTTAGTAAATTTCTTACTTATTCTAAGTATTGAATTGAATACCGGCCCAGGTGCCCACAGATGCATTAAAAGACTACATGGATCATTTGCATCAACTGTGAAACTGAAATTAAGATATTAACCCGCTGACTACTGAATCCCTTCTCTCCCACAGGCTTAATACAGGGGCCACTCGATGCCAGTGGGCTAATACACACAGTCAGGTTGTCTATTAAAATGCTTCTCCTTTTATTCACTCTAGGATTTCGTGCTGGATGGCTACAAAGTCCCTAAAGGCTACGCAGTCATCTACGTCTCATCCATCGCCCATAGAGATCCTAATGTATTCAAGAACCCAAACAGCTTTGATCCAACGAGATGGGCAAACAAGTAAGTAGGGCCTCATGAGGCCTCATTCTGACACACATTTTCCCTCTTTTTTTCTTCTAGAAGAAATAGTTTCCACTAAAATGTTGTTTTTTTTTCAATGAAATAAAAAAATATATATTTTAAATCATTTTTAAATTTTTTTTTTTTTTTTTATTTTTTTTTTTTTAAATATTTTTTTTTAAATGAAAATTATTATTAGGTACCTGACGAAAACATTCAAATACAGAAAAGTTGATTAAACCTCTCATGCATGTTTACTCTGTTCTTTGCAGGCGCACTGAGAAGGAGAAACTGTTATTTTGCTATGGTGATGGGCCAAGGTGCTGTGTTGGTACATCCCTCATGAAAAACTTGATCAAGGTAAGATTGACCCATACCTAGGGCCTTCATTTGCAGCAATGGCAATTTTAATACTTTAATCGCAATAAGAATCTACGATAATATGACATTAAAGTGTACCAATCACCAAACTACTTTGCTCTGCATGTTAGGGTTTCATGTCGCTACGCTATATTCACAATATGAGCTTCAAATATATCTTCTGTATATAAAAATATTGTAAGTTGAAAGATACTCTCATCAACAGGTAAGTGACTTATGGGTAGACTACTTGACGCGTCTGCAGTGGCGGATCCAGGATTTGACGATAGGGGGGCCTAAAAAAAAAAATCGCGCAGACCAATATTGCGCTCAGTGGGAGGGGGGGGGGGGTTGGTGAATTTTTTTTCCCCTCGTATTTGCCCCCCCCCCCAATGTGAAAATCGCATCGACCAATATTGCACTCAGTGGGAGGGGGGGGGGGGGGGGGTTGGTGAGTTGTTTTTTTCTTTCTCGTATTTGCCCCCCCCCCCCCAAAAAAAAAATGTGAAAATCGCATCGACCAATATTGTGCTCAGTGGGGGAGGGGGGGGGGGGGGTGGTAGTGAGCATAATTTTTTTCTTCTCGCATTTGCCCCCCAAAATTTGAAAATCGCGCAGACCGTTATTTTAAAAAAGCCAGGGGGGTGGGCGGGCCCATCGGCCCCCCCCCCCCCTCCCCGTGGATCCGTGCCTGTGCGTCTGTACATGCTCACATAGAGGAGGGTTTGCACAGAATCCATGTCTCGCTTGGGTTCCGTTTGTGTGGCTATACATTGTTCTCTATTTTCGTCATAGTCCTTATCTGATAGCCCACATAATGCTGGATTGTTGGCTCTACACTAATTATTTTTTGAAGTAACTACTTAAAGATGTTTCCTTTTCTTTGATCAAATACAGAAGGTGAGCCAATACTTGGTGGGTCATTACAACTGGACATTAGGTGACCAAGAGGAAGATCTTGATTACAAATGGCTACCCATGGCTAGACCAAGAGAACTCTCCGTCAGTTTCACTAGAATCGACCAATCAGAGGCCTCATCTGAACTGGCAGGGAGCGACTAGCCTATGGGCACAGAATCTACTTTGAAACTCGAACACAATCAGATGAAACCTTGCGCCTTGAGCCTAGCCTGGCTGTCAGGAGCTGAATTTTCTGTCACCTTCACTTGATTTGACCAATCAGAGGCCTTGTCTGAACCAGCACAGAGCGACAGTCCTAGTCATAGGAACATCTCTTCTTTGACACCCAAACACGATGCCATAAAGCCGAGCCTAGCTCCATTTTGTCAGTCTTGGGCTGCGCTGCGTCAAGAGCAGTGACAACACATGGCTTATGGATGGACTGCAATCTCCTTAGTCTTGCATTTCAGACCCTCTATTACGTGTTATCATAACTTGCTGTTCTTGTATAGAGCAGATCACATAACGATATGACATCTCTATGCACTTGCAGAGGATGTGGCATATTGTTCCCCCCCACTTTAAATCTGGCTGCTTGGCGCATTCAATTGGATTGGAACCCTGTACTTTATGAATCACAGTTCAGATACTTATCCACTGGACCACTAGTTAGCAAAATAAATGGCTAGTTTATGTTGGATTGTGATGGTGCAAAGCTATTGTGCAAGAACTTTCCTATGAGAGAGGTCCAACGAAAATAACAGCACCAAAAATGAGTGATGGTTACTGATGATCATTACGAGTGAGATTGCATAATTAATAATTGTGAAGTAAAATAACCTTAATTAAAAGCATTATTACGTTCAAAGCAGCTTTTCCCCCTTTTTTGCAATTCAGAAAGAATTTTAAATCATTGTGCAATCTACAAATATACTTCTTCTTCCACCTCATGTAATCTGTTAAGTGCTATGCAACCAGTCACTTAACCATGTGGATATTAATAAATACAAGAACAAAGATGATATATTTTTACTAAAATTACAATAGCTACTCAACATACAGTTGTAATCATGTCATAAAAACTGCCAATGGATGAGAGTAGCTATGCTGTACTGGAGTTATCAAATTTTGTTTTGTCGGGGAAAACAAATATGTTCGAAACTTGAAGAACTCTCTAATGAATTTGCTGCATTCACAGTTTTGCGGACATGTTATGATTTATTAAAGAAGTTGTTCATACAAAGTATTCATGAAATGTGTTCTGAAGCGTAAGAACTCTGAAAATAAACTTGCCTAAGATATGCCTTAATTTTGAAATTTTGTAAGCCAAGACTGTAAATTTAGATTGATGAAACCTAAAATGGGCAACAAATGGAATGTTGCAATGTAATTCAGATCTGATATGTGTACCCATACAAAATGTAATCTAAAGTCCAAGAAGTTGATAAATTGTTTGTTTTTAGTATATGGCAATGAAATTCTACGCAAGTAATAAATCATTCCGAACTTATGAGATCATTGTAAATTAAGTTGTTCATATCAGCTGTAAAACTCATACATGATCTGTTTGTGGAAAACTGTTAACATTACCTATAGAAGTTGTTAAGTTTATTCTATTGTCACTCTGTATGTTATTGATATTTGATATGTGTTATATTTTCATTAGCAGTACTATTAATCTATGTGTGTCTTTTTCTATTAGGTGCTTTCGTATTTGTATAAAGAGACTGATTTCTTTCACTACTTATATTTAAAACAATGTTTTGTAGAAAGATGTGTGAGAAACATTTATATTTTTCCTTATATCATTCCAAATACCTCAAATCATGTTACTGTCATTTCTTGTGTGGATATATTGAACTACTTGTAGTAGATATCACTTTAAAAACGAAATAGGAAGACAAGTTTCCTAGAATCCTAGTGCATACTTTACCAGAGCTGCCAACCCATACGATTTTTAGAAGTAAATACAACTGTAGCATCTTCATCAATAAAATAATTTTTTCCACAAAAAAAAAACAAAAAACACACACCAGTCATGACGAAATCATGCATATTCAACCAATGATACATCAAAAATATTCTTCCTGTATGTAGGAACTTATGCAAAAACATCCATGTTCGCGGTGAGAAAGTACTATCGATCATGTTTTGGGGAAAAGAATAGGATTTTTGTTCAGTTGAGGTTGGCAGCTCTGTAAGAGACATTGATCTGCGTATCAGTCTGCGTTTTTTTAAAATACAATATTATTCAGTAAAATACACCTTTTAGGATTAAAGAATACAGCTTTTGAATTCCAGAGGTTGGCAGCCAGGTCTGCTTTAGAAGCACAAATTTTCTTTGAGGCTGGTATTGATATGCATTGTTTGCTGAGAACCAGAAGGGTCTTTATTTGTATACTTTGATGCAGATGATATGTTGCATGTACACGTAGGATTGTTTCATTAAGTGTGCAATACATGTGGTTCCATATTATGCAACTCACTCATAGATCAAAATCAAATGATTTATTTTAGTAAAATGCAATCCATTTATTTTACTGAGACTATCCCATGCTCTTTCATGAAAAAAAGTGGAATAGTTTCCAGAACTATCCAACAATTTTTAAGTATGCAATGCGCATCAGTGCGCATCAAGGTTAGTGTGCTTATACTGTGTTTTGGCCTACGTGTATACTTACACAGCACTGCACAGAAAAAAGCGTAAAGAGGTTAGTGTACTTATCTGTGTGTGCACTAAAGTAAGCCTATTAACATTGGGGCTTATTTGTCAGTGGTAATGACACAAAACAATCTTGAAATTAATTATTTTGTAATATCAAATAACTATGGTCTAGGAGTTTCGACGCATGAAACAAATGATGCGTGTTTTCATTTGTTCATTACAGGATCTATCACTCTCGTTGAGGCTGTATATGAACCTATCGTACATATATCCTATTAATGCCCAGGGGCGGATCTACAGGGGGGGGGGGGTTAAGGGGTTAGATCAACCCATTATGCGGCTACAGCCTCAACTCAAGTGTAGGTAGATCTTGTAATGAACTAATTTGCATGCATCATTTGTATGGTAATGTTCATTGCTGCTGCATCTCATGGAACTTGCCATGAATTTCATATCTGCACAAAATGTATTCTACTCTACTTTATTTCAAATTTGATGTTTTATATATGTGATAACCCTTAATTATATTTGAATTTATCAAAGAATAGTTTATAAAATACTAAATTATCTAATTAAACAATGAGATGTTGATGTAAATGCATCATGTGCTACATTTACATGTAGGTCTATTTAAATCCTTTAATGATATGATGCATTTTATAGGACAATAATCATGGAATTTGTGAAAATTAATGCCATGTATAATACAAGATTAATGAATGCTGCATGTACCCGGTACTTTTTATATCCAGCTTAATTGCTGTATTAAATAAGTATTAAACTTGACCATGAATCTTAATAATTCAGAGCACAATATATTTTCTCTGTGACATGAGAGAAACATTAATCGCTTCATTCTTTTAATTAAATGTAATGTTAATTGTTATTGTGTAAAGTGGGGGCACGCTACAAGAGTCCTATCTCGCACCCCGGGGCAACGTGTCTCACACGGCCGGTTGTAGCAACTACTCTGAAGATCAAGATACATTCATCTGATCTAAGGAGACACGAACGAACGAGAGCACAGACATACATCATCTGATTGGAACCAGAAGGACTTTAACTCGTATACTGTTAGATTAAACACAGAGTTAACACCCTTCTGGCTCTGAACAGATGTCATGTAATTGGTGTTTAATATTACACTCTACATCATGCCCTGTGAGGCCTTGGTGTGCTATTTTAAGCCCTACTGTACTACTTATAGCTACTTGCTCCCTCTATATAGAAAACAATGCCTAATCGGTGCCTGTTGGTCCCTTATGATCCTCTTTTTCTTATGTTAGTTGAGAGCTGAGTTCATGAGATAGCCACCTGTCAGTGACCTCGCTGGGTGGTCTAGTACAGATGGTCTTTAAGTGTGGTGCATGTAGGTGTCTGAAATATGCTAAATTTGTATAAATGTGTGCTCTTAGCTAGTATGCGAGATTAAACCCACCCCATAGTTTATAAATAGAATGGCAAATGATATTAGTAATACGAAGAGTACATGTTTGAATAATTGTCTCAGGAAGATCAGATTCCCCTCAATGGAGATACTTGTAGATTGTGCTATTACCATGTAAATGACGCCTGGCTGGAAGACTCCCCAGGGAGTGGAGAATGTGCATACATTGTGTGTGGGTAAGCCTGAATCCAATGAACGGGTAATATATCTGTAAAGCGCTTTGAGAGGGCTTGCGGTCGTGAAAAGCACTGTATAAGAATGAACTATTATTATTATTATTATTATTATCACAATCATCACAATGATAGCAACATGTATTTAAATGTTTTATGCAAGATCAAACTCACCTGTTTGGTATATAGAATGAAAGATTATTAGTGTATAGAGTTAAAAATAATTAAAGAATTGTCTAAGGAATATTATATTTCTCTACATAGACTCGGATCATGTTTTTAATATGTAAATGATTTCACAATGATAGGTATATGTATTCAACAGTTCTAGGCTGTCTCGTAATTAGACACTGGGGCCAACTCAGACTCAGTGGAAAATCATGGTTGAGTTATCCAGGAGAGCTGAATTGATCGCAAGTACTCAGGTTAATTTTGCATCCAGTCTATTACGTCTTTTAGAAAAACTCACATTAAAATTATTCTATAGGAATGTGTATTAAAATAGTACCAACAAGTTAAGAAAGTTTGAAATAAATAAATTCTTCAAAACATGAAATGTATGGCTATGTAGAAGTGTCTGGTTGGTTTGTAGGTTGCACTTTAAGTTATGAAGCATTATTGCAGAGAGATGTTGAGTTTACCCTAGTGACAAGTTAAACCCAACCCTGTCTTTAACCTGTCTTTCAACCAGTCATCCGAGATCCGACACCACTAAAGTTATGTGTGGGTGGGTGGGGTTTGTGACCATGGGAATGTGCATGCTTAGATGTGCAATATAGAGATCATCAGTCTTTCATGGTTTAAAAAGCCAAATAATGGGATATCACTTCCAGAGGAGCTGTAATTCTAAATTGTTTATCATATACGAGATTGACCTACGGGAAAGTAAAATCAAAACAGAATAGCAAAAATGTATGGAAATTTCATAGAAGCAAGAAGGGAAAGCGCAATTCAGTTTGCACATATGAACCATGTGCATTTTAGGAATACTGTCTCAATATCATCCAGGGTTGCCAGTTTTCAGGCCATAGTTTAGGCTTTTTTGTGTACAAGATTGCTCATTCTAGGTGATTTTCAGGCCCTCTGATCAATTCTAACTGGCATCCCTGATCATCTTTTTTTTGCATGTTTCTCAGGATATTACACATTTTCTGCCCAAATCATTTTGGAGATATTGACTTCCATTTTTTACATGATTACACATTTCCTCCAAAATTCGTCTTGAGAGATATGATTTGTTTTCAGTCTTCAAACAGTCATTGGAAATTTCATTTTGCTCTGTTAGAGTATTGTTTTCAATTATTACCAGGTTTTAACCTAACCTTAACAAAAATCTCAGTACTCAAAGCATATACTAGGTCATCCGCTTCAGGATTGAAATCCAAGAATGACACCTTATTTTGGAGTATATTTTACGTCTCTATTTAGAGGAGGCGCGATAGCTCAGTCGGTAGAGCAGTGGTCGCGTGACCCGGGTTCGAAACCAAGGCGATGCGCCAGTGCCAGTGCCTTTTGGTAAGCCGTCGTCTGGTTGTGTCAGGTAAAACAACCACCACAAACACATTTTATTATGGGACAAAAGTTTACTATAGTGACCCACAGTTTGTCCCATTCGTCAGCCAAATCCGATAAATTAATAATAATGATAACATTCGGTTCTTGTAAAGCGCATATCACATTTTATGGTCTCTAAATGCGCTTCCGAAGAGCTTTCGGAAATTTAGTTATACACATTTGCGCTAGAAATACTAGCATTCATGTTTGTAGAGCACTATGCAATAGAAACATTCCATTTTCTCAAATACATGGAAAAATATATTTTCATATGTAAATAATTCCTAATAAAAGTACAAATTCATGTCAATGGCACAAACATGTCATGTTTTGTTTCAACGAGGCTTTGATTGATTCATTTTGGGTTATTTTTGGATTGAGAAGAATATAGAAGGAAAAAGTTTGTTTGTGCTTTGGTGTAAAATGGCTCTGTGTGTATATCATGACTTAAGCCGATGTACACTGTAGATTCTCACAAAACTATGATCATTCAAATGTAAAATGATGCATTCTAGAAATGATCAATGATGAATGGCTGGTATTTCTTTGCCATTGGTCCTCTCATCTATAGTTCTTAGAAACTTAAAAAGTGACTTGAAAATCAAAAATGTTTGTCTTGTATTTTAATGGTATGCACCTGTACAACTCAGCTCTAGATTGGCATTGATACGATCTACATGTACCATTGTCTAGGAAGCCTTCATATTGAAGATGACAAATTCACCTGTTGCTAATTTTTTCATATACGGTAGATGTATAGATTGCATGTACATTGTACGTATCTGGCCTTCATTGAAAAAGAAGGTACAATGTAATATGGTCGATGTTCATTATGAACAATGTCTATTAAAGTTTGTTGTACTGTAAACACTATTTCTGGTATTACATCTGTTCTAGAGGCCATAACATTTTAATGGCTTTAACTGTGTATAAAGAATATAGTTTTTTCAAATTATTTTGGGACAGTTTCTACTTTATTTTCATTTTATTATTTAATGAGGTCCATTCTGTTGCTAAGTTCTACATGTGTTTTTTGTGTTTGGTATGATTTAACTGTTCTATCCTGATTTATTGTAATTTAGATTAAGAATGATGTTTGTGCTGAATGTATGGTTATTTTGCGTGATCTTAATGTATGTTCCTCTGTATGTTTGTCCTCATTGTGTTTGTGAACTTGAGACTACTACAGTGCACTTTTATTCATGAAGAATGCTGTTGTGTTGATGTATTGTCATTCTATGCAAAATTAGACTGCCCCATTTGATATAATGGTCATCTCACTTTAATACAGACATTTGAAATGTTAACACACTGTGCTAGCGCACTGTTCTTGTGTACAGGTATGAATTAAAATATCACACAAAATACACGATTGTTATGATCATTGTTCATTTTATTTGATGGCATTCATCAATTATAGATATATTTGCAGCTTGGAATATACACGTATAGCAGAGAAGAATTAAACTTTAACAGGATACCATATGAAAGCTTATACTAACTACGCCATTTCAATTGAGGTCCTAAGAATAAATTGAAAATTAAGATTAATCGTCAATTTCAAAGATATTTTATTCAATTGATATAATATAGTAAGACCCCAATACATTTTTTCCTCAAAACCTATAACATAGACAAATAAAAGCTACTTTAAATACTCTTAAACAGCGGACTTTTAGATAGAGTTCTATGTAGAGAGTTCTATGTATATAGTTCGATTTGTTTCATAACTTTCTTATATTCAGTCGGTTTTAGCTCAAACTTTTAATGACATTATTCACTCATTTTTCAGCTTCTATTAATACACACTAAATATATCAGGATGAACTTCCCCTTTAAGAGATCGATACGCTGAGTATTACAAGAGTCCATGTAAGCACCGATGGTTCTTAGACTGAGGGTCATGTAGAATATGAAACGGGTGCAGTGATCATGTATGCGTCAAAAACATCTTTGAAACCTTTAAATTGTATGTACAGTTGCATTGTACTCGGGGTTGCTACATGATTTTAAAAAAGTGACCCCCCCTTCCAATCTAAAGAAAAGATAGTCCAAGATAGTTCATCCTCTCGATCCCCCCCTCCCCATCCACCTCTATATTAATACAATATAAAAACAATTCTTTTTAAATTATAATCACACAAAAGGAAATTAGATACATATGAATACAAATTTAGGTTTTGATGGAGTTATTCAACAGCTTTTATAAGAAGACGAATATATTTATTCGATAGTGAAATAATATATAAGATAAATTAATTTAAAGTATATATATATATATATATATATATATATATATATATATATATATATATATATATAGCTTACCTAGAAAATACGGGACTAAAACGAAACCAAACCTTACAGTAAACATACAGAAGCAATAACATATACATGGGAGATTTCATTAGAAAGGATTTCAATTTTCATATACACATACCGTCTCAAATAACCCAACAATATGCTGTCTTTATTTCTCACAGTCTTTATCACCAATGAAAAACGACACTAAGAAGGACACTGACGATGATGACGAACGACGTGATGGTCGACACGGATGCAGAACACGGAAAGTCGATATCTACACTCGCCTCATCGACATCGTTGACCTCCAGCACGATCGATGTACATAAGTCAATCGAGAACGAACTGGTGGATCCTAGGAAAGAGAGAAAGAAAAAAAGGGGGTTACTGTTTTAGGGACTCGGAAATGGATAACGTTTGGGAGAGATAGGGGTATTGCTAAGAGAAAAGGAGAGAAAATAAAGAATGTATTGCTTTATATGACCATATAAACACTGTTACATGTCCATAATGGTTTGGATGAATTTTTTAAGGACAAAGATATTTCATTATTTCCTTTAAATTTAGAATTCATATATTGCGTCATTCACCTCCAAAGAAATACCCTATAACAATAACAATAACAATGCTACTACTACTTTACTACTACTCCTCAGGCGCGTACACCGGGGGGGGGGGGGGGAGGGTTTGGGGGGTTAAACCCCCCCTTTGGTATTTTTTTTGGTGTAAACCCCCCCCCCCCCATAACCCCCCTAAACCCCCCCCCCCCTTGGATTTTTTTTTTTTGACCTAAAAAAGCTGACCTTACCCCCCCCCCAACATAGCAAAATGTCAAATTTCCAAATTTCGAGACCAAAAAAAAAAAAGTGTCCTCTTAACCCCCCCCCCCCCCCCCCGCTTATTCAGCGGCTGGCTGAGTCGTTGCAAAATTTTCGGCCCGATTTATAAATGTTAAACCCCCCCCCCCTTGAAAAAATCCTGCGTACGCGCCTGCTACTCCTACTATAGTAGAAGTAAAAGACATCGGTATATTTACCTCCAGAAATAATGTATGACGATCCCATCTCTAAAGAATCGATCCCGCATGAGTTGCCGGGAGTTTGAATGTCGAGAATCCTATTGATACGAATGGTTAGGATTTCATTATGATATACTTCTTGGACCCGTACGTTGTATTGCAGATCTTCGTTCAGTGAACGGTTGCCGAGAATATTCACAACCGTTCCTTTGATAGCTGTAAGTATGTATTTGAAGAAAAAAAAAGAAAGAAATTAGATTCAGAATTACCAAGTTCTGGGAAAGGACAAGTTGCGTGGGTACCCCCATGGGAAATAGATAGACAAAATGATGGAGGGAAGAAAAGAGCAGAACGAGAATGTGAAAAGAAGGTATGATAGGTCCCACCCCCATCTTACACTCAATTTTCTTAAACGGTGCCACTGGGGCATGATAATTCGTTTTACATTTACCCCGTATAGTAAGATAGTAATGCCTGGATTACATTTGCCCCGTACGATAAATTAGTCTACGATTTTTCGTGGACATCGTAGGAGGCTACGGGCTACGATGTTTGTGTTTACATTATCTACGAGCATCGTGCCATTTATTGTATTGGCCCTCGGGGGCAGGCCGGTGCAAATCCGTACAGAGGCTGCTCGGAGATTGTACGGAAATCGTGCAATTTGCATGCAGTAGCCGTGCA